TATTGATTTATTTTTTGAGCTGTTATTTGCGACTTCGACACTTAGTAGCAGCTATTTATGAACGTAGTAGCGTAGGTATTGCTTTGGTGTTTAGTTAAGTCGTTTTATTTATTCGTTTATTCATAGATGGTAAATTATTAAGAATTTATATTTAAGTTTACCTTGGTTTATAAGAGATGTTTAAATTTAAACGTGAATAACTTGTTTTGATTAAACACGAAGTCTTTTAATAGCCCGTGCTTGTTAATAACTACCTTAATAAGTGCGTAAGCTAGGTTTTTTACCGTGCTTGATTTTTTATATAGAATAAAGTAGCCGTGCTTTATAAGTTTATTAGTGACTATTTATATGTTTTCATATTTCGTGTTAGTTATTAGTTTCTTAGACTTTAATTGTATAACTATAAAGTCGAAAGCTATTTGTTTTATACTTTGTTGAAAATCTTTATAGGCTTAAATAGTTTATATAGTTTATGTCGTGTTGTCTTAGCCTTGTTATAAATGTTATATTTCTTAATGACTTTCTTTACCGTGTTAGTGAGTTCTAAGAATTTATATTGTTGCTTTAATCGTTTTTTCGTCTTAAAGATGCCTTAGTATTTATATATTGGGTGCTCGTAGAATTGCCGTACGAATTCCTTTTGGTGTTGTTTTGAAATCTCGATTTCCTCGTTTATAGTTGTTCTGTTTTTTAATATGGCTATTTATTTGCCTTAGGCCCTAATACGGTATGTAATATTTACCGCAAGGTTTTTATATCTGTTGATCTTTAGTAATGCTTGTACTTCTTTTAATACCTTTTATTTGTAGTAGCTTCGCTTGTTAAATATATTTGCCTTTGCGTTTCTTTTAATGTAAATAATTGGAAAGTTAAACTTTAATAAGAGCTCTGCTTATCGTGTTTATTATTTGTTTAACTTCTTTATTGTTATAAAGTATGTTAGGTTTTTATAGTTCAAGTAATCCTTTATTAGTTTTTTTCTACTATTAAGGTAATGGTTTTATTCTTTAAATGTTTTAATAACTACTATTAGTTCTTTATCGCGGATCTAGTAGTTTAATTTTAATTCGTGTAGCTTTTTAATGAATAACGCAATAAGATATAGCTTACTATTTTTGTCGTGTTAGTCAAGCTGTTTTCTTAGTGCGTAGTCAAATGCGTTTATCTCGACTTTAAATTTCTTCTTGAGGTCTAATAGTTATATAACTGGGTCGTCGATTATAAGTGTTCGAATTGTGTTAAAAGCTTACTATTCTTTAATAGTTTATTCAAACTTTCGGTTGGTTTTTATTAAGTCTATTAAAGTTGTAGTATGCTTTTCAAAGTTCGTAATAAAAGGCCTAACATAGTTCATAAACCTTACGAATGCTCGTACGTTTATAGCATTGCTTAATACTAGCTAGTTCTTAATTGTTAAAATCTTTAAGTTTTAAATACGCACTTTTTTTAAAGTGATAGTAAATTATAAAAGTCGACTTTTTACATATAAAAGTCGCTTTTTTGCGGTTTATAAGAAACTTAGCTTCTAAAATTATTAATAATACTTGGTTAACTTGTTTCGGTGTTTTTCAATGTTTTTAAGTATATTAAGATGCTATCTAGGTATATTATTATACATATATTGTTGGAACAGGCTTGAACAATCAATCATAATACTCGAGTATGGTGTCAAGGTCATGATGTTGCTGATGGTTGGATTGAGAGGAATCTAGCTGGACTCGAAGGTCTGGCCAAGTGCCCTCTCAATCCACTATCTTATCTTATCTAATCATACATGTGGGTCTTGGTATAGATGGTTTGCAGTCTGGAATTGCATGGATCCAACACTAGTGTTGTTATAAACGTTATATTGTCGTTTACACGTTGCCGTCTTTTTCGAACGACAATTACCTTCACTTATTTCTTTTTCTACTAGCTTTGTACTATGCTTTATAGCTTAATAACTTATTATATCTTTGACGAAAAGTACTCTCCTTTTTATTAGACGTTTATTTTTTATTTTTTCGCCTTTACTTAGTAAGTGATTAGTCTCTTCTAGCTCGCAAACCCAGGAATTAACTATAGCGACCTTATATATAAATCCGTACGTAGCCTTTAAAAAAGGGTTTAATGCATTAATAATTAATATAAGTAAGCTTTTTTAAAAGTTTTTAACTCGACTTCGAATATAAACAGACCAGGTTATCCCTTTATTAATAGTAATAAACGTCTTTAAAGTTTAAATAATAGTTGGTAAATTAAGTTTTGACGACGATATTTATACGATAAAAATACTATCTAGCTTTGAAATACCAATTTTTAAGTTAAAAGAAACAAGGCTCGTAGTATTAAAACCTGCTTAAATGTTTTTTAACGTTATAATAGCGTTATATACTTTATAAAACGCTGCGAGAAAGTCCTCTTTCAAAACGTGGGATATATAACGCCGGATAAGATCTTTATTTCTACGACCGTAAGCTCGTTTAAACGCGTTAAAATAACTAATATTTAAAGGCTAAAGCGTATATAGTAAGTAAGTAAGTATAAAAAAGGTAATAATGCCATTGTTTTTAATAGTAATTCTTAAAGACTTAGAAATAATAGCTTTCATAATTATTCAAGATAAAAAGGCGTTTACCGGTAGTTATACGCGGTTTAATATACTTATCAAAATGTTAAATCTATTTTAGAACGATTTTATTCGTAGTTTACTCGTTATTGAACATGGACACTTTTTAATCGCGTGGTAATATCGTATTGCGATATTATTACGCGAGGTAAGTGTTACCTTGTAAAATAATAAACGGCGAAACTGCTTAACTATTAGTATTAATATTAAAGATTATTATGAATCATTTTTTATTACCTTATTGAGCTTATTCAACCCTATTATGCCTTTTAACGCTTATAACAAGTATGTTAAACTTAATAATGTTTATTATAAACCTAGTCTCGTTGAAGTTATAAATATCCGCGTTTTAAATACTATGTTTTATAACTATCGTTACAACTTAAGGAAACTACGCGTATTACACGTTTAAATATTCGTTTAAAACCTTTAAATAGGTTATTTTACGATAAAAACACGTTAAAGGCCGATTATACGTTAAATTAAGTTTTGTGTTTAGTTTTTTTAACGCCTTTACCTTTACGCGTCGCTATCAATCAATTTATTATAACTTTAATATAACTATACCAAGGCGGAAATGCTCGCGCATTTAAATCGAGAATAAGGAAAAGAATTCAATTTTCTTTAAAAACGATAAGTTTTAAAGTATCAGTCACGTTATCGCGTTGTAATAACATTTTTCAAATTTTATTACTGAAAGTAAAATGATGGACGTCGAAAATCTTTACGAGTTAAAATATGAAAATATAAAGATTACGTCGTTTAACTAAAACCGCTAGCTGCAATTTTAATTTGTTATAACGCGGTACTGTTATTATTAATAAAAATATAATAGTTTAAATCATATTAGTTAAAAAGTTTATAATAAGTACCAACTCGCTTATAATGCTAACTCGCGTAATTACCCACGCTAAAGTTATAAGTATGTTTAAAAAGATAAAGCGAAAAAAAGGTTATTAAGTCGATTAAAATGCAGCTTAATATTATTAAGAAAAGCATTATTTACGTGCTTATAATCGATTGAGCGGCTTTTTATAGTTTTAAAAAAGTGTTCTTAGGTTAAAAAGCGGCGTACTAAGAATATCCGGGGGTTAGATTAAGGTTATTTTATCGTAAAACGCGTTAAGCGTATAAGTAAAAGCGTAAAACTAGTAATAAAAGCCTTGGTTTTTCTTAGCTAATCGCTTAATCGGCTAAATAGTTTTCCTAGTCTTTAAGTAGCTTTTAAAACCCCTTAAACTGTCACAGCGAGCGTATTGAAGAGCTGGGACATGGCCGGCAGCAAGCAGCTATTACTCTATTGACGAGAATATCAAGACTAGAGAGGAAAGGAAGAGAGAGAGAGAGATAGGTACAGTGGGAGGTTGCCCCTTTAAGGGGATCCTCTGGTCAGATCCTTCCCCTATTAAGAAGTATCCGCTTGTTATGTGGGAAGGTCTGTGCAGGCCGTCACATAAACCCCTTTTTACGTAATTATATATCGATAATTTTATTAGGTAAGTAGGTCTTCTTAACGTGGTTGGTCTTTAAAGCGCTATAAAAAGACCTACCTTTAAAGACGCCGTTAATCCCATTATTAGCTCGGAGCTACGTGACGAAACCAGGCATTATGAAAAGAGGAAAAGAAGTAAATGAAGATAATGAAAAAGGAATATCAATCGGAAGATAATTAAGGGTTATTATATAGTTAGTAAGCAAGGGGTGGCATTGAACGCGTTGGCATTCTGGGTGGCACGCAGGGAGGGTGGTTCGCGACCCAGGCATTTGGCTTATGCCTACCATGGCGCTGACTAGGGAGATTGGGAAGAGGGTCTAATGCAGGGGCTGTAATCGACATTTGGATAGTCTATAAATCACAGACTTGCAGCCTTGAACCATGGAATAATCTTTCTTTCAGACACTCTTGATGAGTCTGACCTCTGACTTGAATCCTCCATATCAAGCCCCTGGTTGTCTTTGAGGGCAGATCCGTTCGTACCTGTACCCTCTTTCGCCAATTTCAGCAATCAAGTGGCAACAGAGTAACCTACGGCTTGCTGACAACTCCCAATCAGTCGCAGTGGCTTAGGTGTAGCTGCAAGTCTACCGTGTTAGGTAGAGATCAGCCCGGCGGACCGAACGCCGGTATATCACAGCGGTCATGTCCGATGACCGGTCCGGACGTTTCGTCACTGCTCCGGCCAATTATGAAACACTCCGAAGCCAATCCGCCAAGGCGGGCTGTGCTGACAGTTGGGTCGTTCTCGCTATCCCTATCCTCGACAGTCGCGTACTCCTACACCTACCCTTCAACTCACCCATGTAGGACCTCATCCATCTCATCCCATTTCTCACCTCATCAAGCTTACACTCACACTCGCACTCGCACTCGCACTCACCAACTTCATCCAGCATGGAGAAGACGACGTCCCCCCGACCAGCAACGGACACATACCAAAAGGTATCTCTAAGCGACACGGACCTCGAGGGCGAAAGCCCGCGCCGTAGCTCCAGCGATGAGGGGACCCCGACGCCAACTTGGGATAAGGGGTATCGCCGGCGCAAGCCTCGCACCATCCTCTCGACCATCTGGCTCTTTGCCCGTGCTCTTTTCATTATCGTAGGTATTAGCACCTGGGCGGCTTCGCTGTGGGTCGTTCATGAAGCAACGGGCGACATGGAGAGGGCACGTTCGTTGTTGCTGCTTGCCAAGGAAGCGACTGCTGTGCCATCTACGCCACATGCCAATAGTCATGACAGCAGCAGCAGCAGCAGCAAGAGCGGTCACAAGATCACAAACCCACACCACGACAGCCTCAACACAATGTTCATCCCAGGCGGAACCCTCCCCGTGGCGGGGTACGGCTTAGCTTACAACACGACATACTGCAACGGCTGGACTGATCCTGCGGGCGCCATCGAGCGTGGGTGTGTCCTAGACCCTCTGCAAGGTGGCTGGGTGCACGAACTCTGCCACGACGCCGCCCTCACAAAAGAGTGGCTCTCCCTGCCGGACTTCGGGTGGTATCTGGACGCCGAACGAACGCACAAGGTCCCGCAAGATCGGGTCTGGGCGGCCGACATACCCGGCGGCGTCGACACGACGCTGTACACGGTGCTCGACTTCCACGCGCAGCACTGCAAGTCCGTGATGACGTTACGCATTAAGCATACGACGAGGCGGAACAAGGGGCTCGGCTACCTGCCACTCGACCCCGGGCACATGAACCACTGTATCCATCTCATGACGGAGACGCCGAACCCCAAGGAGCTCACACAGGTCGTCCTGGGCAAGTTTGGTGGCGGGACGGAGGGGTTTGGATTGGCCGGCGAGTGTTATATGCCTATTCTATAAGTAGTCGTTCTTTTCTTGTCGGGGGTGGTGGAAGTTCAAGTGTCAGATGGGATTTCCATTTTGTTTGTATCCGTTCCTGATGAGGGTTTACTGCCTTAGTGACTGGGAGCTTCAAGAAATTGACCAAATGTGTGATTATATGTACCTGCTTCACGGCTGATATTCAACTCATACATAGTGCCAGAGTGCGGTGCTAAATCGCGTGTTTAAGTCAACGGTTATTACCAAGGATCTCCCTTGTAAACATAGTTAAGCTATGTCACTACAACCCGCATAAGATAATGACTTTAATATTAGAACTCGTAACTTAATATGTCGAACTACCATAGATACTTTCATATAAACTCCTTGATCAAAATAATATCACTAGGCTACTATGTACATGCTATTTCGTGTTTTTACCCAGACTGACTTCCTTGCCCTACTCCTGCACCTCATTCCGATCAAGCCACAATAGGATTCTCCCGGAGAAGATAGTCCTAGACACGTTATTGTCAACGCGCAATTCTCCTCTCGGGGTTTTCTACACAGTCGATTGACTTACCTTGTGCGGAACGCCTGACTTATAAGCCCAGTCGTACAACACCGAGCTATCGCGGCACTGATGCCAAAGCGCATTGCCGTCAATAATCTTCGTCTCGGGCGTGAGCTGCGCCACCGGATGAAGTGTCGTGTCTGCGTGGCAGAGGATGCTCTGTGTGTTCTAGCTGTCAGTGTGCCCGTCCATCTATATCTATATGGAATACGTGCGGCCGACGGGTTACTTACCTGGCGGATGTAATCGAAGCAATATGCCACCTTCTCATAGTCGCTCCCTTGACCGCGCTCGCTCATGAACCGTCTTGCCTCCCGGCCTGACCGGCCGATAGCGATAAACTCGGTCCTTATGTCACGCAGGCACTTGAGCTGGTGGAACATGGCCGGGACGGCCCAGACGTGAAACCCGTTGGTGATGTTGGTGCCGAGCACGGCGCCACCGTTGGAGGGGACCAGCTCCCCCCATAGCGCGTCGGCCTCGGCGTCGAAGTGGCGGTAGGATAGGTTTCCAAGTAGGAACGTTGGTCTGGTCTGCAAGTCGGGTAGGTATACGTGTTTCGCGATCGGCGGTGGAGGGCCGGTGTAGGAGAGCCAGAGGAGGACGATCGATGCCGCTACGGCGAACGTGTTGTAGACTATCTTGAACATTGTAATCGGTGACGGCCCTCTCTTGTGGTTGTAGACGCGTAGTTTCGAGGAGGGGGAGTCTCCAGACAATCACCGAATATGAGCTTGTTTCTGTGTAATGTGGAATGGTTAGATGCTCGAGTAAGCACGTGCATGTATTCCCGCCTAGAAATGAGGTTGCCTTCTTGGCAACCGGTCCGCATCCGGTCCCGGCGGTCCGGCGGTGGACCATTAGCCGGAAAGCAGAATGCCGATCCGGACCCGGCTTCTTCGCCTTGCATGAGTACGCTGGAATCAATGCGAGTCGCAATGTCTTTTTTTTTCTTTCAAACCACCAAAACTCCCATTCGATGCTAACTCCTGAATCGTTCTGCCCAAAACCATCTCCCAGACAATATGTACAGTAATACCAACATAGCTAGCCTCCCGTGGCTGACGACTCTTCTGACGATCCTCTGGCTCTCAGTAGCCTACATGTTCCATTCGCGCTGGGGGCGAGACGTGTCCCAATGGCCCATGGACCTACCCGCGCGGTCTTACACGTTTACCGACCACCCCCATCTGCGCGACTTTGACGACGCGGTGGCAGCGGAGCACTGGGGCGGCATGGTGCGGCACGAGTGGTGGGACACGGAATGGCGTGACGAGAGCGGGCGACGGTTTCCCCGCGGCATCGACGTCTTTCACAAGGTGCACTGCCTTGTCGCCATTCGCGACGATTTCGCTATAATGGCGTCGAGCCCGGACAGGGGCGAGAAACCCGACTTCAGGAAGAAGAGGGCCGAGGAGAGGACGAGGAGGAAGGTCGAGTTGACGGTTAATCAGAATCACTTGCAGCACTGCTTTGATTTCTTACGACAGGTAAGTCGGTCCCCTGTCCCTGGTTTCTCTGCCTGCAACGTCTGCTGATCGGAGTTTCGCAGGATATTCTCTGCGCTGCCGATATGACGTTGGAGCCCCTGCCTGATGGGTATGTCGAGACGGACGGTCGGGGTGTCGAGCATGTGTGCAAGGACTGGAGGGTGTTGCTAGAACTGATGGATCTGCCCGACGAGGATGAAATCTGACGGATGCCTTTAAACGCCCGTCGCCTGGTGATCGGAATGTGTTACGTTTCTGTGTTTCATTCATAGTCGTTACGAGCAATTCTTGGTTATAAGTTACAAATCATTAGTCTTAAAAATGTTCCCTCGTTTGTTTCCGTCTCTTTGTATTCGATGGCTCGTAATGCATACTTCGCTGCTTTGGCGAATGCCATGGCGGCGGTGCCAGCACCCTCGGCCTCCAAGCGTGACATTCCCAGGCAGACTTTTACAAAAAGCATAGGCCCCAATCCCGCACCTAGTAATCGCCTTGAATTGATAGAGAACTATTGGTCCATCTCATTCCGTACCTATTCATCGGTCACTTCTCGGTTCGGCGGGATCAGCACCCTGCATGCAGCATAACCGGCGCCCCCGAACCCCCGGACACCCGCTCCTTGACATGGCCCACAACGTTACAGAGCGCCAAGTCCAGTGAAGCAATATCCCCGGCTTTCTTTCTGACAGTATCTGAGAGGCATTACCAGAGCGATCTTGCATTTTCGATCATCTGAACTCCAACGCCCCCAAACCCAGCCAGACTTCATCATGTCACAATCCTCCTCCCGCCCAAGCCTAGAGACCCAATCGGGTGAAGAAGACCACCTATTTCTGCTCCCCCATGAGAAAGCCAGCCTCGACAGTGAAGACGGCATCTCGTCACCTCAGGTAAGAAGGAAGCGCATGCCTTGGCTTTGCCGATCCGGCAATGTTCTGGTAGTCCTGGGCCAACTCGTTTTTCTCCTCACCAATGTCGTCTGGGCTGTCGCGAATGTGCGATATAGGGCAATGCCTTCTTCGCCAAATGAGGGGAATTTATATGGTGAGTCACGACCGCCTTTCTCTGACGGGGGACATAAAGACCGAGTTCGGCTGGTATGGGGTCCGAACAGAACCGTCTGCCGCTCCTTTCTCGAGAAAGTACATCGAATATGACCTCCAACTGGGCCAGAAGTCCTCATTCACAACCTTCGACCGCGAGGTTGCCGACGAGGCATGGGCTAGTATTAGCATGAAACAAGGCTGTTAGTTTTTCCGTACAGATTTTTAACCGTTTCGACCCCATGAGTTCAAGCTGACAGATCGCGGTTTCGACTTTCAAGTGGGCTGGCTCAAAGTAGCCCAAGACAAAGTCGACGAGATGGACCAGCCGTCAGTCGAGTTCCACGACAAATCGGGCTACTTCTTCGGCATGGACGTCTTCCATCAGCTGCACTGCCTAAATTACTTGCGCAAGAAGTCTGTACTGTACAGCCACCTGTATCCCGCCGGCAGCGAGATTGAGGACGAGCAGGTCCCGCCCGAGTTCCATATCCGTAAGACCCTTCCCTTCCTCCCTTGACGCGGCGACCCGGAGCCAGAACTACTGCTGACACATGAATCTGCACAGCGCACTGCATAGACTCGATCCGCCTCTCCCTCCAGTGCCACGCCGACTTGACGTTCGTGCCCGAACGATGGGTCGACGGCTGGCTGGAGCCGTGGGCGGTGTGGAAGAACAAACACATGTGCCGGGACTTCGACGCCGTGCACGACTGGGCGCTGGAGAACGCACCCGATACTGCCGGCAAGCTGTATCACCCTCAGCTTGGCAAGGTTGTGTCCGGGAGGCTGAACCTGACGGCTCTCCCGATCTGGCAGGAAGCATATGATACCGATGTCGTGCTTGGGAAAATGCCTGTGTGCCATAAGCACTGAGTTAGTATTGCTCCGAGGAATAAAACATCGATTAAGAAGGAATATTTGTGCTTTTAAACGATATGTACACATCGTACAAGCTTGCTTAGCTTCGTGTTTGTTTAATCGGCTTTGGGGCAAGAGTCTAGCGAAGGGTCTAGGTCTGGTGACTTTGTTTACAGCGTCGAAGGCGAATGCCATTTCGAGGGACTCCCGTGTACCGTCCATGGATCGCTGCGAAGGGCCAAGGCTCTTCTTTAGGGCAAAGTGTTGTCAGGCATCGCTTGTAGACGTCGAAGTCTGGTCAAAATAAGAAGCATGTGAAAGAAGAACCAGCAGGAGCTCTTCTAGAGATGCATGAAATAAGTGCAAACGAGCCAAGTTTTCCAAGAAATGAGCGCCGCCCGCTCTTCCGCCGTGCCCACCCCCCTCCCCCTCCCCCCCTGGCGCCTCCGTGCCCTTGGTCCTCGCCTCCCCCCAGCGCCTTCTCTGCTTCTGCATTGTCTCTGTGGTGAGATATCAAGTCAGGAACTGTTCGAGACGGCTTGGAGTATACCTTTCCCAACAACACGTAGCGTTTCCTTACACTCACCGACACTCGCCTTGAGATCATCCTCTTCGCCCCAGTACTCGTCCTGAAAAGCCGTGTGCCAGGCCGTAAAGTCGGCAGCTAGCTACATACCCGCGAAGCTCGCGCCCGCCCGCCATCTCCTGTTGCTTGTCCAGCCTCGCGAGCTTATTTTGTCGACCTCTCTGGTTCATCTCGAGGGTACGCTGTCAGGCCTCGAAGCTCTCGATCGTTAGCCGTCTTCTGCAGTTTGGACGCTAGAGCTTCAGCTGCAGGACACGATACCGTGGTTCTGGCCCGGAACAGCTCACCACCACGATTTTAATTTTAATTTTAATTTTAAAGCTCTTTCGACCGGAAGGGAAGAGCCAAACCCAAATACCCCAATAGACAACAAAAAGCAAATCCCTCGTACTGCACACTAAGTCTATCAAAATACAACGGCACGAATCATCTCAATCCACCAAAACCTTAACCACGGATGGCGTCCACAGGCTCAGGCCGATGCGTCACACGCCGAATGGCATGCGCGCAAAGCCACCTCCTTTGCCAAATCGCGGCTTGACTCAGGAAGAGATTGCTACTCACTTGAAAAGCTTAAGGTCGTATCACGGGTTTCATCCGAGAGCTGGTCCAGTAGCTGGTCCAGAAGCTGGTCCAGAAGCTGGTCCCTCTTGCCAACACGATAGCAGGCGCAACGGCGATGGCTCCCAAGCCTTTCCTTCCTACTTCCGTTCCTGTATCCGCTGGCTACAAGTCATTGCCACAATCCCAAACGTCTTATTGTTCCTAGTGGCGATCTTTAGCATTGGCATTTTCTTCATGATACGGACTTCGCTACAGCATCATTCCGTCCCAAAGTCATCGTCGTCGACCGATATGACCGTCTACGAATCCGAGTCGTCTGCCAATGAACTTTATACCTAATACTTAAGCGATATTAAGAAATATAAATAACAAGCTTACGGCTAGCGCTACGAGTCTAGCTGTGCTTAAGAACCAGCTCGGGCGAGAAGTGCGCCCCTACGTACCCGGCGGCCGAGCCCTGACGGCGCCGCTCGCGCTCTTGCCCATACCAGAACGGCTCGCTGAGCGGACGGTGTTACGGTATTACATAATACCTCCACATATTTATGTACATATATACCCCTAGCTTCCCCGTTCTCTTCCGACCTTGCCTCTTCTTCCTCGGATATCGTTGAACCTAGATATTTCATCCCATCAGCCCCGACCAGCGCAGCTGCAGGCCTGATTGTCACAGACGGGGTTGCGGGAGTGGTGGCGGCAGAAGATGTGGGAGTGGCTGGGCTGCGGGCGACCGCGCTTGGGAGGGGTGTATAGAGTTTCAATGGTATACCTACGAAAAGGTAGCAAAGAACTAAAAGGGCAGGGAGGAAGATGAGGAAGACGGAGGGCGAAATGAGAAAGGAAGTGAGTACAAGGAGGGCAATACCGAGGCAGTGCTTAGCAACAGCTACTACCGCCGCCTCGAGCTTCGCGCGGCCAACGACCTCGTTTATAACCCTCGATACCACGTTGACGGCAGCGTTGCTGCTGCCCGGGTTATGCGCCGACTGATAAAGGCTATTCGGGCGTCATCGGCCGTTACAAAGGAGCAGCTAGCCGTGGACGCGTTGATAGCGAGATGGGAGAGGTTGCAGTGGGAGTGGAAGCCATTTGAGCAAACGTTGGATAAGGTTGCGAAATAAGCAGCGAAAACTTGAATTAGAATGTAAACGATGGTGGTACGTTTTAAAGCAGGGGGTGATCGTGAAGTGAGTGGATAGGTGGGATCTCCCAGACGGGGATTTGAGATTCTGAGATTCTGAGATGAAGATCTAACTATCGACCAGAAGATAGATTTGCCCATACATTCACTATTCACTCTGGCAGCCTTCGGTGGCAGGGCAATTGGCATAGACTAAGCCGCTGTTCGTTGCAAGAAGCTGATAGCTATGCAAATGTGAATGACCCGGCCCGGCCCGAACAAAGCATACTCGAGCGCTGCGGCGTAGTAGACATCATGTCCCCCTATCCGCGCTCAAGACCAGGGATATACGATAAAACTGATGCTAGGGATGGCCGTACCGAAGTTGGCGGGATGGACCTCGTCTAGCTTGCAGGTATCAGGAATCACGGGCACATCTGCCAGCTTCCATGACGACCAGGGCTTGTGTGCGCAGCTATGGCCTGAGCGGCACCAAGCAAGACCACCTAATCGTAGACTCCCGCCGAGTACTCTAGAGTACACGTCTATTTCTCTGGTCTGCCACTGCAGCGTGGCGCCAGGGTCGACAACGTGTTCGATGAGCTTCTTAGATTACTATGCTGCCGGTGAACGACCATGAAACATGTCGGTGAGTCTATCGAAGATGAGCTTTGGGCTACTCAAGCGCTCTAATGGGGATCTTACGTGCTGACAGTTAGTCTGCCCGAGAAGCACGAGGTTATCAATCGGTGGCCACAGGAACACAAAGACGCAGAGACACAGGGGCAGACGCTGGGACATGGGTAATGTAGGCGACCGATTTGCTTCGGAAACCTGAACACGGAGATCTTATCTCCCAATTCGTCGTCCTCGCCATCCATTTACATAGACGAGTTCGCAAAAAAACCACAATTGACGCACATCAAGATCGGGACCGTCTAAGTCTTCAATTTGTTAAGTTCCTCGCGGGAAGTGTCTATACGATGCAGTTTAAACGCTATGCTATCTATGCCCGCTATGCCCGCCATACTATGTCTATGTCTATATCATTCGCAAAGCATCATCTATTATCTATCATCTATCAACTATCAATCATCCACCGGAGCAAACTTGCTCATCCTCCTCAGCCTCAACCCAAACTTCATAAACAGCAGCGGCACCGGCAGCGCCAAGACGGCCACACCGCCCAGCACACTGCATGCCGGCCCAACACCCATATTATAAAACATCGGCCTCGCCGCCAACGGCAGCGCAAAGGCGAATATACTCCTGAGAAAAGTATTCGCCGAGACGGCGGACGCCGCGTAGAGCATGTACGTGTCCACCAGAAAGTTGATGCACTGCTGGAATATGACGTTGAAGCCCGCGCCAATGAACGCGGTGGCTACCGTGGGGACGGCCCAGTGAATACTAAGATTCCCGGCCGTCCAGCCGAACCAGAAGAGGCCGATGACAAAAAGGGCGCCGCCTACAAGCATGGGCGGGAGACGGGCTTCGGGGACGGCCTTGCCGTTGTGCGCTGCTACGATGCGGGCGTAGCGGGGCTGGTTGGCGAGGTTGATGCCCATGGCGCAGAGGACGCCGACGAAGAGGCCGAGGAAAGGAAGGGTGCTGACGACGGGGCCGAAGCCGCGGATGTCGGCGTATACGATGGGGAAGACTTCGAGGGTGAGGTAGAGGAGGCCGTACACGAAGGAGGCGTAGATTGCTATGCAGGTCACCATCGGATCGGTAGTCAGCATCCGGAGCGGGCGGGATACGTGTTTCGTGATGATGTTCTTAAACGTGATTTTGGAGGCTTCGTGGGGGTGCCAGTATCGACTGTCTCCGGTGGATTTGCGGAGACGTTGGGCTTTCCGTTTCAGCAGGACAGGTCCGTAGAGTTCCGGCATCAGGAAGAAGGCCATGACCGTCACCGTAGAAACCCATATGGCTTCGATGTATTCCGTCCATCTCCACCCCAGGTTCGGGTTGCTGGTGAGTGCCGAGCCGATGACAGGTCCGATGGTTGGTCCTCCGACAACGCAGACGGCGTAGAAGGTCACGGCGATACCGCGAGGCTTCGGGGCGTACATGTCCCCAAGCGCCGCGCTCACATTGCTGACCGGCGCCGATCCAAAGACTCCGCTAAAGAACCTCGTCAGGAACACCGAAGCGGCGTTCTTACTGACCGCCGTGCCAATACTAAAGAGCGCCAGACCAATAAGGGCAGGTAACATGCTGACCTTGCGGCCGTACACCTCCGAGATGGGTGCCCACAGCAGAGGCCCGAATGCGAATCCAAGCACGTAGAGTGAGACGGAAAAGACTGCGATCTCGTCGCTCACGCCGATGTATTTAGCGATTTGCCTTTCGGCGGGACTGATGATGCTCGATCCGAGAGAGGCGCTCAGGGCGAGCATACCGAGCTGGAAGGTGATGAATCCTTTGTAGGCTGTGGTCCAGTTCATGGGGTTGAGTTTGTCGTCCTCGTCCCATTTGACGAGGAAGGCTTGTTTCTCGTCCTCGTCGCCGTCGCCATCGCCATGTTCGCTGGGTTGGCGGTCGGGGCTTTGGCTTCCGGCATGTTTCTCTGCGTCGGCTGCATCGCTGTCTGCCCAGAACTGCTCGGCTGGGACATGAGCTGGGACATGCTGTGAGGATGCGACGTTGGAGACAGAAGAGTTGCCGTGATTCTGCTGCATCTGCATCATCGTCGTCGAACCTTCTTCCTTCTGGTGCACATCCTCCAAAGACTGGGAGGCAACAACATCTTATCTACCTAAGGTGTGAGTCGGGAGGATGTTTTTTGAGGATGCCGGTTCTGCGTGCCGACGGGGATGCCGACCGGGAATAATGGGTGACGACATCTACGCCGAAGCCGATAAGTCCGTTCCGAGCCGAGCTATACCCACTACTAGAATATGCAGTCAAACATATAAGACTCATCAGTCAGGAAGATAACATAGGCTATAAACCATGGTCTGCCCGCTAGGTACTGTCCACTGTAATTCACAGCCGAGGCTGGACTTCAACCACCAACTTCAATCACTAAAATCTTGTTAGGTTCACGATCCATTCCAATCCGACCACTCACCTTAACGACTTTGCGAGTGTTGCGCCTGTCTCTTGCGTCAACCTCGATCGCAAGATTTCCATTGCACCGACTCTCACTGTCATTCCCACTCCCCACTACTCCCACTACCACCGTCAGCCTCGTCCAGCTGCCAGGGTCCGTCGCGACCTCATGCGTGGTCTTCATCACCACCATAACTATACGCCAAACTCAGACTTTGCCAGATATCATAACAGTGGCGTATTTAAGGTAGCCTTGTTATGATTGCTGTGAGCATGTGTCATCCTGTGGGATCACATGCGATAGCTGTCAGAGGTGGTACCTTTCCCACCTATTTAAGCAGGATGGTACCGCCATCAGCTATCCTTATTCCTCTTCCAATACGCACCATTCCTAAATTTCACAGACTTCCACAGCCACCATGACAGCCTCCACAGCAAGTCGTGGAATCCATTTACGACGGCAAAGACACCGACTGCCTCGCCCTAGAGCTCATTCGACAGCCCATTCAACAATACCAACAGTACCGGCCAAGACGACCACCGAGACAGAACCACCGAGAATAACGAGCCTTCCTCACAGCTCGACCTCGACCTCGACCTCGACCTCGACATCGCCTTCTGGACCATCTAGAGATACTACTATGGACTGCCCACTTCTTAGATTGGCACCCAACCATCGTACGATCGGCTACACGAACACTCGTACGAACGGCTCGGCGAGCGGTCATAGTCAGGCTACTCCAGCACCAGCACTGCTGGGTACCGCCAAAGAGCCGCAGTGGCTGGAAGATGAAGATGCCGGCGTCAGATCGACGGCCCCTCGCCGGACCAACTTTAGGGTGGTCAGATATCCATTTCGCAAGGGGGTCCGCTATGGGCCGCCTCTGCCTCGTCCGATGCGGCTGAAGCATACCACTAGCTGCAGCGCCGCAGAGCTCTGCCGACCATGTGCGAGGACGCGATCGGGCAGTCAACCTGGCACGTCGGCTCGCCTGGGGTCTGCGCCGCGCGGTAACCAGCAGGGCATTGCAGGCAGCGGCGCCGCAGACACTGCCGCCCATGTTTGCGAGGACGCATAGGACCCGGGAGGCAGCAAACGAGGACCGTCTCATCGTGGCTGATGGGTTCATCCTCCGCGATGCCGCTGGACGCTGGACTCGTTGGGGGCAAGTGCGTTTGCCGGGTGCCGGAGAGTCATATTGCATTCTTCAAGCTGCTTCTAGCCAGATCCCGGTATACCGCTGCCTTGTCGTCGCCCTCGAAGCAGCCTTTAGTTATATACTATAGGCCAATGCAAGATCGCGACAATCCCTACCATGGAGAAGATCTATACCCGTGGTCCGAGAACTCTTCGCATAAGGCGGCCTAGATTCCCACGATGTGCTGTGTGAGCCAATCCGGGGCCAGTTTGATGCCGCTGCTGGTGAAACGAGACAAATGGTGACAATTACACACGCGAGGTTCATCCTCCGCGACGCCGCTGGGCGCGTTAGGTTGGGGACGAGAGCCGGCTGCCGGAGATTCCCATTGCGTTCTTCAAGCTGCTGTACGTACCGTCGTGACAATCACTCCAGGAGCGGTTGAACGGAATGGCCCATCATCGGCAGCAGAAGACTTCCACCACCTGGGCCGAGTATAACGGAATCGGCCGAAGCATATGCGTCGCATCTCAGGTACCCCATATCGTTGATCCCAGCATCTCAACGCAGGCCTCCTCACCTCACCTTCATCGGGACTTCAACTAATCCAGTCGTCAGTCATCACAGCGACCCTGGCCACTCAACCAATCAATCACCAGTTCCTGGCGATCCAGTGTCGAGGCCGAGTTACTGCCACCAACAGACAGACTGTCTGCAGCCTCGACAGACCAGCTCGATCGACAACCCCATGCATGACTGGACATGGCTGCTTAATATACTACCTTAGTATCTCGACAATTAATCTGGTCATCACTGCACCGGAGAGGGTTGCCGGCAACCTTCCCCAGAACCGCAGCGCAACCAGTACAGCACGCCTGCGTCCTGGCCATTTTCCAACACCACACCACACCTTGGAACGAAGGGAAGACTGGTGGGCTTACTTGTACTTAACGTCGCTACCGCGAATGGGCCACATCCCGACTCCAACTTTATGACAGCTCCTCACTAAGATCCGTCGCAGTTGTGAGGGCGTTGATAAGACGCACATGGGTAGGACACTGAATAATATGCTGCTTTTGGCAGCGGATTTCGAGGACCGGGGTTTGTGAGCGAATGGACGAATGGATGATTGGGTGATGAGTGGAAGATGGGCCAAAGCTGAATGATGCTGATGATTATTATGATATTGATGATGATGATTGCATATTGTGCTGGCTATCGGGTAGTTATCTAGGAGGTCGGCTTGCTTAGGTAGGGTTTCCGCCGCGCTGTTGCTAGCAGGGCATTGCTTTCATAGGGAGCCGAAAGCTGAGGTGCGAGCATGAGACACGAGACGTGAGCATGAGCATGAGACACGAGATATGAGACGAGATATGAGTCACGATTCCTAGTTGTATGGCGTCTAGGTCGGTCCAGCCCCGGATATGCGGGCTTTGGTAGGTATTCAGGTAAGAGAGCGTGGTTCTCATTGTACTTTCAACCACTGTGTTATGGATCGGAAGTGTGCTCTATACTATGGACTGGAAGTGTACTATCTATGTACACATAGTTCTTGTGCTACCGGTGCTATCAGGGTGCTGATTGGATTCTCCACTTAGACAGATAATTGAGTGTTATAGACGATGATTTGTACGTCTTGAAAGTCGGTGATCATGCATATGCTGGGGATCGTAGGTATGGGCGCTGCTCTCCTCCGTTATGTCTTGGTGATGAACTGTCCAGACTCGTCTCCCTCGTCATGTTGGCCGAGTGCTAGGGGTGTAGGTGCAAATGAGAGTAGATGAGAGCAGATGAGAGCACGTGAGATGAGGAGCCACCGACGTACCGGTCGCTACATCTGCATTGGTTGCGCCCGTGGAACCTACAGCTTACAGCCCTACTACAGCGCCTTACGGCCCGGCAGTTGGTTCCCTCCTTTTCTCGCAGCTATTGGGCAAAGGGTCAGATCGATGACCAAGCTATGGAACCGGTGACAGACACCTGGCCTCAACACCCAGCGTGCATTATCACTACACCGGCTGCACCACGCTTCCAATTCGTAAGTGAACTAAGCTCGGACACGGACATGGAGCAGGCAAGGAAATGGTAGTCTCTCTTTGTACTTGAACTTAACCATGAACTCGGAGTCGCAGTGGCAGTGACCGACTGGTAAACATCCTGCCAGCCCAGCAGCGGTCAGATAAGCAAAATGCTCCCTCTAGTCCTTCATCCGCACTTACCCTGATGATGGCGTGGGAAATGAGGTAGTCGGTCGAGGTTCTCTTAGTCATACTCTTCCTTAGTACCAGCACAAAGTCGGACATCAAATCAGCAAGGTCTTAAGATAGCGAGCGAGCGGAGTGGGAAAGGGAATGCACTCGGTTAACGAACGTACGGAGGTCAATCCCCGGGGCAGAGGGTCTCAAAAGCGACGCACCACGACGGCTCAAGCAGCCGTACCCACGGCCTCGAGACCGCAAGCGTGGCCGCCAGAGCCGGATCGGGAGCCCGGTGTAAATGCAACTCATAAGCCTCCCGGGTCCTCGTCAACACCACCAGGATGCCCCACGCCCGGGGCTCCGAGTTCCATTCCCGAAAGACCTGATCAAGGTTCGCAGTGGAACCCGCCTAGGTTGACTTGGTGGGACTGTATCTTGGCGCTGTGGGAAGCGGGAAAGTGGAGTGACAGAGCTCCGGTGAGATATCCGTGACGATGGGAGTGTGGCAGAGTCGTACGGTGGTTAAGCTGCGACCGGGTGAACCATGGCGGCAAGAGATCTAGAGGAGCGTGGGCGCCTCTAGCAGTGACAATGTCCCCCTTTCATCATTATCATCGTGATTATCATGATCATCCTCATCAGTCCCCATCTGCGCAACGTGCATACTCCTTACGCGTCCCCACACTGGCCCCCTTTATGCCTTGATATACGTGCCTCGCTCTGCTATCTTGCCATGTATGGCGACCCATGTACCTCGGCGGTCTTGTCTCTGAATTCGCCAGCTGGTCGCCTAGGCTCTCGTTGCCCCGGGCCGATTGACCCGTGTTCAAGCCGATCACGAAAAGCTGGGTGCTAGATGTGTTCTTTGCTTCTAAGTCTACTCAATATGTCAAAATATACAAGTTTCGCCAGGATCTTTCATCCGACTTCTCAAGCCGACCTTGCCCTCCCTCATTCTGGCCTGATGGCGTTTACATGGTATCAATCGACAATGAGTACGAAGGTGCAGTAAGCGGCGGCCCGATCCAACCCAAAATTTATAACACGTCAAGATGCCGGCTGAGAATAAGTCTCTCAGAAATAGGTTGAAAAGTAACGCGAGTGCTGCACGGCATTGATTCCCACATAGCCGAAAAGTGAAATGCCTTTCTTGTTCAAGCCTCAGTTATTAATAGACACGTCAACAGACACACCAAGCCTATAACGGGCTCGCCAAGGGGTAGGTGATGTTAATGCCGAAACGGTTAAGGAATCGAAGAGTCGAATGGTTAAGTTCTACGTCAACGAACCCACTGTTATAAAAACGTCGGTGGTCAACTTTGAAGAGCGCATTGCGGGAGATGCCAAGGGTGGCTAGCTCGTGAGTCGTCTGCGCAAGCTCGTTTTCGTTCAGAGGTCAAGGCAACGAACCGTGCCGCTTGCCAGATGCTGCCGGTAATAAACCCATCAAAACCCTTAAGAGATGAGCTCGGAGATAGGCCCAGTCGAGGACACCCCCTAGATCTGCAGCGCTGAGCACCAATTTATCATGGCGACCTACCGGGTCTAACATGATCTAAACGAAGTCAAATCGGCCTTTTGCACTATGGTTAGCCTTTGCAAACTACCGCATTTCGATCTAAGAGCATACCAAGAAAGGGGGCTACGCCCGGCCACGAGGTGGTGGTGGTTGTGCTTCTCCAGGGTCTGCTTAAGAGGGTTTTTGCCAGGTCGCCGGCGGGCAGGTTATGGGATATCGTCTGTAGATGACGCCTTCACGGTGGGGTGCAGAGCAGGTTCGCCTTCGTAGCTCTGGTCGTACTAGCTTCTGCGGCAGGCATCGCCGACGGTGCCCTTTATGCGGAGGCCCGTATGTTGTGGGTGTCTGGGCCTTGTGACTGAGCAGCCCCAGTGCGGGCTGGGACCGTGGTGGCCGATTGAATTGGTTGTTGGTGTGTAAGTAGATGACTGTGAGCCCAGGGGGTGGATGGATGCCGACGTAAAGATGGTGAAGGTAAAGGTAAAGGTAAAGGTGAAGGTGAAGCAAAGGTGTATGGGGGAAAAGCGACCGACGCAAAGGAAACGACGGACGACGAATAGGCAACATTGATAAGGAGGAAGACAAGAAAAAGAGGAGATCCAGCTGGGATTGGCAAGAAATAAGATATTAGACCCGAAAGCAAGAAGCCTCTCTCCTATCCCAAACGCCATAGTTGATGCAATGAAAAATGTCGCGCTCACCTTCTCTTCCTTATGGCGCTGTTCTTCCTCTAATACCTCTCTGTGTCTCTGCGAGCACCAGAATGTATGAACCAACTAAGTATTCATGCCGGCAGCAGTGACTAGCTCTCTCTATCTCTCTCTTTCTTATTCATCCATACTCGATATCCCTCCCGGTCTCCAATCACCCAGCCACTGTCCATGCCGCTTCAGACATCAATATTCATGCCTCTCTCGTCGGCTACCGCTGCTCATCTCCCCTATCCGAACCTCTTCGTGTAAGCATGCTGGTATCTCAGCCTCCTATATCTGATATCCTCCCCGAGCGCCCCGTGGATCAAGTCGCGCTCGTCATCGCATAGAGGCTGGCTCACTTCTCGAAAGGCGACTCGCCCAATGTGCCATGCGTCCGGGCAACGCGATGCTGGTAGTAGCTTGAGTCGGGTCCTCAAATACGATAGGATCCTTGTTGATAACTTCTCGTCTCCCTTCATGACCGCCCGTATGTTCCGATGCTCGCTCTCGACCCTGACCGTGCGCATGCCCCTCCGCCTGCGCTTGTCCCGATCGCTGACCTTGCCGGCTGGTCGACGGGCTTCCAGGTATGTTCGGGAGAGCACGGCGGGACGGCAGCATGAAAGGTGACCGAATGCCCAGACGTCGTGCCCGCAACGGCGTCACGTATATTGGCTGGTCGTTCGAATATCGCAGTACGCTCAAGCCGCTTCGGCGCGTAGGGGTGCTAGGTGGCGCCGTAGGAGTGTGGATGGTTTGCTCCTGCTGCCGGTGCCGGCGCTGAGTCTGACGATAGCCCTCTTTTCGTCGTTTGGAAGTACCGCATGCTATCATGAGCTGTTTTGGCGGGGTTCGGAAGCGGTCGGTGCCTGCAGGTTGGACGCTGCGGCTTCTCCGCGTCGGCTTGATGGGTGTCGTCTGGTTTGGGTCCTGACGTCCTGCTTGGAGGTCGCGGCTGTGTTCGCTTGCGCGCCTAGCTGTTCTACTAGTGATTGGAACCGGCATGGTGTGAGAAAGCTGAAGAGAGTGGAGCGTATCGCGTCGGAGATGACTGGTCTCAGACAGGGCGCGAAGGGGGCAGATTGGTTGCAGATACAGGGGTACGAGTCGAGCGTGTGGTCATGTCCATGTGCGTGGATGAGGTGACAAAGGACGGGAGAGGCGCTGAACAAGAGTGCCGAGAGAAGATCTGTTGGCCACAGTCGCAGTTGCACAGTTGCAGTTGCTGGGTAATGGTAGCCAAGTCTAATGGCAAGTGCGTCCTGTTGCTGGACTGGCTACTGCCTACCTCCTTCAGCCTTGAGCAGTACTTGGCCACATGGGACTGGTTCAATGTTGCAGGCGTTGGACAACTGGAACATTCAAGGCGGTGCACCAGTTCACCCCCCTATCTTGCATCTCAGCCACACCCACAGTGGTCCGTTGATGCGCCGTCGCCCCTATTCTCATAATAGGGTATGGCTGCGTTGCCCATTTGCATGCTTTCGCGTGCAGCTGGTTTGCCGCATCAACCACTGCATGCAACATAGTATCAGAAGCTGAAGTGTCGAAGGCGTCACAACCTGGCCGGCGGGTTGTAGAGGTACGATCAACAGGTCCGAGCAGACAACGCCATGCACTCGTCCATGTTTTCATTTCAACCGGTGCCCTGAAGCAGCCCTGGCCATTGACAGAGCTGGCGATCCAAATGATGGCCAAATCGAAGGACTCATGTTCTTCGGTGCAGCGCACGCGACTGCGTGGTCGATGTCGGGTGACTTGGTGCTGAATTGCGAGACGGGAGGGAGAATGAAGCCTTGCGACGGAAAAAAACGGGAAAGAGTGAGGGGTAGGGCATGGAGACTGGTATACGCGAGAGTGAGGCTATGGCTGGCCTGTAGTGCGCACATGTCGTTTTTCCGCGCCTTTTTCCGCGGACGCGAGGTGGACTCGGCTGAACATGGGAAGGTGAAATTATCCTCTTCTATGGACTGTAAGGCCTCTGCGATGATCATACCGTCTTGACTGGTGTGGAAGCTGGCCAAATTCCGTGTGAGTAAACGGGGCAAGGCCTGGACAAACCAGCTGAGTGCGGTTCAGTTGTACCCCGACCTCGACCGTCCCCTCCTGCTGCTGGAGCTGCTGTCGATATCTGTATTTGGCGGCCGCGTTTGGTCGCTGGCACGTCGTTGCGCGTGAGCACTGAGTCCAAGATGGACAGGTAGCTGGGTCACTGAATGCGGTGGTGTTCCAGCCCTCGGGTTGGAAGCTGGGGTCGGCGGTGGTGGTGTTGGAGGCATCGAAGATGAGGTGAGGTATAGTATGCGTAGGGGTTTCACCGGTGATGGTGATTGTGCTGCCGATGATGAAGGTTGCGATGAAGGTCACAGTACGGCAATGGATAAGGTAATGAAGGTGAACCTACCTGTGTCTTTTAAACAGGCGCCGTCTTGATGGCGCCATTGCATCTGTTGGTTGGTTCATCTTGTGCACCAACAGTCAATAGTCCCAGACTAAATGTGAGTCTCGACTGCTGAGGAACTGAAATAGGTCACATTGGAAACAATGTAGATGTTGTTGGTGGTGGCGTGACATGTTGTTGATGCGCCTCAGCTGCTACCGGTAGACGGGAATCACCTGTCGTGTTGGTATTGCCGCATTGCCCTACCGATGTTGGATCCGATGTTGGTCCGCCGCGTGCGCGATCCCTGCATAAGGATCAGTTGGTAACTTGGATTGCTTCCGATTGGGCATCTATCTGCAGGTTGCAGGGTGGTATTTGTGATGTTTCTCGGACGCGAACTTACCAAAATGCTGGGGGGCATACACAGGATATCGGGCAAAATGCTGGGGGGGATACTTACACGCCCACTTCCACTGCCTCTTTCACTGCTACTACCTCACCCACCCCTACGCCCGCTCGAACTTCCGTTCCCGCGATCGGACAGGCCTCGTCTTCCCTCCTGCCCTATGTCGTCAGGTTGCTTGACGGGTTGCTCGACTGGTTGCTCGACGGGCGGTCTTTGATGGGGCCTCGGGAACGGGGTGACCGGCCTGACCAGGGCAAGCATGGGGCGGCGGGTTGGCCAGTGGCACAGGAACGTTCAGGCCATACTAAGGAGGAATGCCCAAGACTGCGGGTTCCGCTGGGGCAGCTTAGGCTGGAGGACGTTTCTTGTAAAAGTTGCAAGCAAGAAAGTTTAGACTGCGACATGGCATCAGCCAACCCGCCTCCGACTGCCGTACTCTACTTCCATTCTCCTGGACCTCTGCCGTCCAAAAGAGCTTGTCCAGAAGAGCCCGTCGTCTGCATACTGCTGTCCCATGGTCCATCTGTCCGCATACCCGGCTGAGCGCCTGTTAAGCTCGTGTCTGGCAGATGCAGTGCCTAGCTCATGAGCCTCTGAGCCCCTATTCAATCCAGAAGAGCCTGCCAGCTCTGTCGATCCCTTACGACTCGGTATGTTACCTCGGAAAAAAAAGCAGGCCATGGTTCCGGCACTGGATGCTTCAATTTGCATTGGGGGCAGGGCTTGTGATCCACGTTGTCGACATCATTTGATGAGGAGGACTGCATCCGGGGGGTCACTCACTGTCACCTAGGAAGAAGCCAAGACCACAGGATATGAAGGGATTCTCAACTCCTGTCAAAGCTGTCTGGAGTCACTCGATTCTCCCCGGAACCGTCCCGGAATACAGTCAATTGAACAAGATCCAGGAGCATGTCCAGTGTCTTCCCCACCCACCCTCAAATGTATACACTTGTCCCACATAAGTCTCCGTACGCTAGCCCCAATTCAATCTTCTGACCAAAACAACAACACGACACCCTCATCTTGCGATAATTCATAATAAAATCAATTCGCCATGGATATTAACGAAATGGGTACCGTTCTGAGCGGCACTCGCCAGCCGAACGGCGAATTTACTTCGGAGGCGTGTACAGGCATTATCGCGGCGCGCGCGGAGGGCCGCAGTCGTAGGGATGTCGCACGCGCCTACGGCACGGAACGCGTCGAAACCATCTCTGAGATTTGCTCGTGTATCAACACTACCAAAACCACGCGCACTGCGCGAAGGAAGGGAGCTCCTAGGCTTCTTTCGCATGGGCAAGAACGCCATCTAGTTGATTTGGCGCGGAGGTTCCCTCGTCTCTCGTAGGAGGCGCTCAAAGCCAAAGCACGCGTTACCTGCCACACGGAGACCATCGTGAGGGCTCTCCGCCGCCACGGCCTCAATAAATGGCGCGTAGCGAAGCGAATCTTTCTCACGGAGGATGACACCGCGAAAAGGCTTGCTTGGGCGCGAAAATACCGCATGCAGTGCCCTCAAAAGGAGTTGATGATGGCCCTCTTCTCCGACAAATGCACCATTCAGAATGATCCCAATAGACCTGGCGAATGGGTCATCCGCCTCTCCAACGAACGGTACCGCAAGGATCTCATGAACCCACAGAGCCACGGGAGAGCTCGTATTTCGATAATAATTTGGGGTTTGATGTGGTTACGCAACGACAAAAGTGGCCTAGGCAAGCTGGTCTTCTGTGAAGGAAATTCGGATTCACCACGCGGAGGAGTCTCTGCTAGGTGCTATCAACAGGTCCTAGAGGAAGGTCTTCTTCCGTTTTATGAGGCAAGGGACCCTTTTCAGCAAGATAATGCTCCTATGCACGTCAAAGGAGGCTCGCCAGAGTGATTAGAGGAGCACAGAATCTGGACTATCGACTGGCCTCCTCACAGCCCTGATTTGAACCCTATCGAGCACATTTGGGCAGCTCTAAAGAAGAAGATAAGGGAAATAGAGCCTCATTTTCAAGACCTGAAAGACAATATCGCTCACCAGGCATGGGCTAGAGAGATAATCCAAGCCGTGTGGTCAGAGTTGGATCCCGACCTCCCGAAGAAGCTCATTAGATATCTCCCCGATCGGATTGCCGCAGTGGTCCGGACGTGCGGCTGGTACAATCACTACTAAACCGCTATCAAATGCATATTTTGTTATAATTTTCGGCCTCGTGATGCCTTCGCAATTGAGCAGTGAATGTGGTGGTGACGGTGTGTGGATGGGGCCGTACGGAGACTCGTGTGGGGTTAGTGTAACTAAGTCGCCCAGGCATTCAGTCTCTTGCACCAACCCAATCCCCAACCGCAAACCTCCAACTCGTACTCTCTCGGGCTCTCCCGGCGTGTACATATGGACGTTCTCGTCTCTATCCCATCGTCAGAGCTGCCGACCCTGCGCCGGACGTGCGTGAAGTCTGCCACGCAGAACCAAGCGTGGGCGCGGCCCAACACGGACAATGCGCTCCTTGAACCCTGAGCAAATCGTTCGCCCTCGAACCGCTCGCTAGCGCCCGAGCGATCACGGAGCTCGTCAGGCGCATGTGCTTGGTCTCGTACATCGCCAGCGACGCCTACAACGACCACTGGGACTTGTGGCACATCATCGGCCGTACCGGTGGCGGCTTTGCTAACGAGTACGGCGACGAAAACCGAGATGAGGAGCCCGAGCATCAGGATGACGCCTCCGCGGCCGGGGAAGATGACAAGCAGGCCGGGTGATAACGACGATACCGAAGATGACTTGGTCTTGGTCAAGGTGGAGGTCGAGATGCAGGTCGAAATGGAGTCGAGGTGCAAGTCGAGATACCGGTAGAGGTCGAGATGGAAGCGAGATGGAAGTGGAGGTAGAGGCGGAGGTAGAGGCGGAGGTGAAGGCGGGCGAGGCTAAAGAGGCGGAAGAGGATGGCAATAGCCTCGCTCAGCGTCTAGAGGTCAGTTCATGGGTCTGGACCTGGTGTATATGCGTACCCACCGGGTGGGCGAGGGTCATGGAAGATGCGACGTGTTGCGACTCGTCCAGTTACTAGCTGCCAGTTCTGGCAGTGAGCTCGGTGCCTTTGTTTGCCCATGTCAGTCAAATCAATATCCTGGAACCTGAAGGGGTATTGCTGGGCTTGGGTTCACCTGGTGCTGGAACACGTCCACCCAAAGTCTGCATGCATGTGTGGTCTGGTTATCATTTGCTTATAAGCGATGGGAACACTGCCAACCCCTCCTCCACATATCAACTGACTCTCTATCCGTGGTTCCCCATAGCCAGACTTCTCAGCCCCATCCCGATTCATGCCCAATTTCCAACTACGTCTGGACTGCCGTTCCATGCCCGCTTCCTCGCCGTATGGCTCATGGTCTCCAGCCCTGATGACGAACGTCGTCCTGGTTCTGCTGTGTCTCGACGATGTTTCGACAGGTGGATGCGAGATGCGGCGGTATCCTCTCCTTGACATAATCGCCGAGTGTCGATTGAGGGTTGCGGGCGCCATCATCGGAGGCGGCCGGTGAGATGATTGGGGTGCCCAAGGTGACGACAGGGTCAGGGATTGTGATCCATCCCCAATCCTCGCTTTCATAGTCGATGTTTATATCCTGAAGATTGTCAGCGCCCTCTGGAGAAGATGGCTTCTTCAGATTGTCTTCGTGATCGATGGTTCGCTCGTAGTCGTCGAGTATACCTTGGAAGTTCGGGAAGATGTGGATCGATTGACCCGATGCGACGTATCCCACCCTTGATGTTGTGTCGAGGTCGGCGCCGTAATGAACCAGGGCAGAAATGAACTAGCAGACCTTCTGCGTCAACATGGCATACTTATCATCATTCGTGTTCCTGAGCACCGCCGCTCGCGGGAAGGGGAACTTTGCTTCCCACGCATGGATCTGACTGATGATGTAAGTCAATCGGATACGGTCGGTGTTCTGGAATCGAGACTTCGGGTCTGCACCACGGGGGAGGAGCATTCGCAGTGCCGCCAGTGAGCTTGCGCCCTGTCAAGGCATTTCAACTCGCGGGTTGCTACGTCTGCGTTAACATCGTGCGTTTTAAAACCCATGCAGACAATCTTTAAATAAAGAAGTAAAAGGAATAACAAAAAGCTTGTTTACAAAAACAAGGCCTAAGGCCTTAGAATGGGATGTGGTATTTTTATACGTACTACGCGCGATGCCGGCGTCGATGTCTGTTTAGAACTGCTGGCCTTGTTCCATGTCGTGGGTTGCGCCCGCGAGTGCCTCGTCGACTCTGGCGATTGCCTCTCGCTGGGCGAGGCGACGAGCTCGTTCGCGGTGTCCTTCTCAAAGTGGTTCGGCGTTAAGTGGCTGCGAGCTAGAATTTAAGCCGACTTCCAAACCTTCCGGGTAAGATTAAGGATAGCCATAGCTCCAGTCATAGTCGGACTACTATGAGCCGCCATTCGAGTGCAATAGCGACTGAGGAGCTTGCGCAGTGGCGTCGAGCTCCTACCGAAGAAGTTACCTAGAGTCTGTCGTAGTCGTCTTAGGTTAAGGGCACAACCCTGGTGTTAAAGTCTGCTGGTCCTAAGTAATGCTCCATAGTGCCTAACGACTGGTTCTCTCCCACGCCGGACTGGGGCACAAGAGGTACTATAGAGGCCCAAGCTTCGTCAGGCAAAGTTGGAGACGCACCACTTGGTCGTTCATGAAGTGCTGGTCGTCGCGGTGGTGGCGTGGTTGATGCGCACGCCAATGTGACGAGCTAGAGCAGGTGCAGGTGCAGATGCAGGTGAGGTACGTGTGCAGGTCCAGGTGGCGCGGACTGGAGCTGGAGTCAGAGGCCAAGCTGCTGGCGGTCAACGCGCTTTTCTACGCTCCCGCTAATGCCAACATGCGAGTACATGGCGATACCTATATGTTGTGAACTGTAAGATATTGTCAGCATGTAGTTGGATGCCGAGTAGAACATGGGCGTAGTCGCTTACATGCTCTGGATTTAGTTCTTTGTGTGGCTATGACAGTGCTTAGGCGCCATGACGGAGGCGAAGATGGGATTTTCGGCGGGCACTTCGGCAACGACCTTGTCGAGCAGAGACCAGGTGGTGTAGCAGAGAGCTTTGACATCGTTCACGATGGACGCCTTGGTGCCGGTGAAGGTCGGCGGAGCTTGTGGCGGGTTCTTGTACTTTTCGGAGCTCTGCCTTTCGCATTTGACGTTCGACACGCGATTGACTGGGTAGAATTGAACGATGCGAGTCGCCCATCATCGGTAGTAGATGGCGGTGCGGAGTGATTGCACCGCCAAGGGTGCAGCAGATACATCCATTCGGCATGACAACGAGCTTGTCGTCACGGCTGGCTTTCTTGCCATCGGCTATGACGAGACCGGCGTCGACATCGACGGCAGCCATGTCGTTGACGATCATGGCGATAGGGAGGCCATGATTCGGGGAGTTCAGGATGTAGTTTAGGAGGATTGTGTCAGGAAGTGAACAAAGGACCTTGTGTGTACATATACAGGGCCACCACGCCTGATAGTTCAGTCTCCTTGCAGAACAACATATTACTTACCCCCCCATATGGTTGGCCTTCTGACAGCTTGTTCTGCCTTCAACAACAACAACCTCAATATCACCACTTCAGCTACCGCTTCAGCTACCGCTTTATCTGCCTCCTCAGTCACTGTCTCAGTCACACGTCAGATATCTCTCCGAGCTCTGAGACTTCAGCTCGTTACACGTCAGATATCGCTCCGAGCGCTGAAACCAGCTCCAGCCTCCAGCCTCTGATAGGGTCGTCGTCGCACGAGCCCCCTAGCCTCCCAGCCAGCCTCAGTCACAGTCCTTTGTTCACAGGATAAGTCATTTTCAGGGCCAACCAATCACAGTCATCCACGCCTCCAGCCTCACACTCACAGACCTCTTGGACCTCCTCAGAAAATCAAGGAAGATGGTGTTCACCTTGAGACAAGCCGTTTACGCGGTGTTGACGTTAAACCCCAGCCCAGGAACCACATTGACACCCCGAAATGGGGATATAAGGTGGCCTTTTCCCCCTATTTTGGATTCAAAGACCATACCAGAGACCACACCGAGCACTATCTCAGATCAATTTGACCCTGACCCGTACCCTGATCCTGATCCATTCACGGAGTACATCATGTCTTCTGCCAACGGCAACTTCGGAGCCACTGGAGATGAGCCTCTCAGCATCGAATCTCTCCTCAGCAGCACTTGGCCATTCATCCTCCAGGCATGCCTCCAGAACAACTGTGACGGGGACTTCCGACCCTTCCGGGCACTAATCAGGCCGCCAATACACAGGCTCTGATGATCTTCAACGCGTTGGAGGATACTCTTCGACTCCAGGGCTTAGAGATCGGGGAGCTCAAGCAAACCATCAGACGCGGTACCGAGGAGTGGCAGCAACTACGCGACCAGCTACAGATGACCCGGGGCCGTGTGGAGGCATACGAGCAGAATATCGGCAGCGTCACCCAGGCCTTCGAGCAGGGCATCCATGGTATGAGCAGCAACCCTTACAAGGAGCCCTCCTCCCTGGTCTCCCACCCTGACAAGTTCGATGGCGAGGAGAAGGACGACAAGAAGCGCCGCCGGCAGTTCAGAGCCTGGCTGGGCAGGGCTCGCCTGAAAATCAACGTTGAGAAAAAGAAGTACAGCACTAAGTACAGCAAGATCCTATACGCGGTCTCACGCCTGGACGGCGCCGCGAGGATAGCTATGGACTCGTACCTAGTGAATATCTATGACCACCCTGAGACTCCAGAGGTGTGGGAGTGGGCGAACTCTGATGCTCTCTTTGACTGGCTCAAACGGGCATACGACTCTCACAACAGGTCCGGCGACGCCAGCAGGGAGATGGACGACCTCAAGCAGAAGAACACCCCGTTCAACGTGTTCCTTTCGGAATTCCTGGCCCTTGCGGCCGACCTGGGGCTCGACGACAAGGCCAAGGTCGAGAAGCTGAAGCAAAAGGTGAACAACGAGCTTCAGTCAGCAGTGATCAGTGTGTTCCCGAAGCCCCAGAATGGAGACTTCGACGGATGGGTGGACTGCTACCGCTCCCTGACGGAGAATATCCTTGATTACGCGCACCATACAGGTAACAAGAACCCGTTTTCAAACAACCCTTTCAACAAGGAGAGTAACAAGAACAACAAGAACAACAACCAGAACAACCAGAACCAGCAGAATCCCCAGCATCCAACACGAGCACAGACTCCGGCGGCGCCAGCAGGTGATCCCATGGACCTTGACACAATCAAACTGCGGCGCCTGTCAGCCACGGAGAGGCAGAAGCGGATAGACCAGGGTTTATGCCTGTACTGCGGTGGTCAAGGCCATATGAAGAACGACTGCCCGGAGGCTCCTCGTCTCCCTCAATCTGGGCCTGTTGCGAGACTAGCTGGCGGTTACAACCTCGAGAGACCAGGCTCCGCGCCGCCTGGCGGCAGCAACAACCCCTTCAGACAAGGCCACGCGGCGGATCTTCGCGTGAGAGCCATCGGCTGGAAGGGGAATGCGGATGACTGGCCAGGAAGCGCCGCTTCCACACAGAGCACCCCCGGCGGATATGGCCACGGATACGGTCACGGCACTGGTGAGAACCACGGATCTTCGGGAGAGGCAAAAGGTTAGGTCCTGAGGAAAGTCGCCCCCAGGACCTCGACCACGAGGATGTACCAGACATGGATATGTTGTACCTCAAATCGGCGAATACAGGCGAAAACTCTCTTCTGCTGCGTGCAACCGTCCGTCAAGGCGGGCGCGGCAAGATCAGTATCGTCACTTTGCTAGATTCTGGATGTACCGCATTCTCCTTCATGGATACAACCTTCGCGCGAGAGCATGATTTCGATATATTGCAACTACCGAAACCGAAACAGCTCCGCCTTGCCAATGGCGAGCGGAAAAACAACGTCACCGAATTCGTCGTCGTGACGATGGAGGTGGATGGACACACAGAAACCCTACTTTGCTTCCTCACAGACCTTAGCAGCGAGACCCCTCTGATCCTGGGTTTTCCCTGGCTGCAAGCACACAATCCGGCTATCGACTGGCAGACATGCGAAATAACCTTCTGCTCCGAGTTCTGCAACAACAACTGCTTCCGCGTACGGCCTGTTCAGGTCAGAGGCGGCCGGAAGGCGTCAAACCCTAACCAGCAGAGGCAAAAGGTTCAATTCGCCGACACGGTCACTCTCCGCGACTGTTCACCAGACGACCTGAAAATCTCTTCAGCAGTGAATTTCGCATGGTTTTGTCGCCAGAAAGGAGTCACGATCTCAAGAATCACGGCTGAACAACTCGAACACGTGAATCTACCAGACCTCGAACCCCCCGACCTCTCGGAACACGACCTCAGACGGATCCTGTCGACGGAAGGTACAGCAGAGGAGCACAAGGCGAAGCTGGACGTTCGATACCACGCGTTCGTGGACGATCTATTCGACAAGCACTTCCTGAACAGGGTCACAGACGAGGACATCGAAAAGTACCTCAAGAACAAGAAACCAGCAACGGTGAAAGAAATCAAGCGCAAATTGCCACCCGACTATTACGACTTTATCGACGTTTTCTTACCTTCAAAAGCGAAGAAACTGTCACCGTACCGCTTGTACGACCACCGAATCGACATCGAACACGGCAAATCAATCCCCAACCTGAAGACGCGTCCCATGTCGCAGCCCGAACTCTGCGTTGTCAAGAAATACCTCGACAATAACATGCAGAAGGGCTTCATCCGCCCCTCCAGGTCAAAATCAGCCGCGCCACTGCTCCTGGCACGAAAACCGGGCGGCGGCGTACGAGTCTGCGTTGATTACCGTGGCCTCAACGATGTTACTGTCAAGAACAGGTACCTCCTCCCTCTCATCCGCGAAACACTCGACGTGCTGTGCATATCCAAGGTGTTTTCTAAGTTAGATATCATTGCGGCGTTCAACAAGATACGGATCGCAGAGGGAGACGAGTGGAAGACGGCCTTCACGACGAGATTTGGGCTTTACGAGACCCTTGTGACCCCCTTCGGGCTCTGCAACGCTCTATCAACCTTTCAGCATTATATTAATGATACCTTATACGATTTTCTCGATCGCTTCGCTTCAGCATACCTCAACGATATCCTTATCTACTCCAAGAACCTCAAGGAACACAAGGAGCATGTCCGCATGGTGCTGGAAGCCCTGAGGGGAGCAGGCCTGCAAGTAGACATCGACAAGTGCGACTTCCACACGACCAAAACCAAGTATCTGGGCCTCATCATCTCCACAGACGGGATAAGCATGGACCCAGAGAAGGTGGAAGCGCTGCTGGACTGGGAGAGCCCACGCAATGTCAAGGACCTTCAGAGGTTCCTGGGGTTCGCGAACTTTTACAGGAGATTTATTCGCAGGTTTTCTTCGATTGCGAGACCTCTAACAAGTCTTTTCAAGACATCAGAGCGTTGGTTATGGGCTGACAACTGCCTGACCGCGTTCCAGCGCCTCAAGGAGTCATTCACGCGCGCCCCAGTGCTCTCGTACTTCCACCCCTGGAGACGAACAGTAGTCGAGACGGATGCCTCGGAGTGGGCTGTGGGAGGCGTGATATCTCAATACGATGATAACGGAGATTTACACCCAGTCGGCTTTTACTCGTCTAAACACACGCCGGCGGAGGCGAACTACGAGATATATGACAAGGAGCTGCTTGCGATCATCAAGGCACTGGAAGAGTGGCGCCCTGAGCTCCAAGGCCCTGACGTGCCGTTCGAGATCATCATGGACCACAAGAACCTGCAGTACTTCATGACGACCAAGCTCCTAACACAGAGACAGGCCCGTTGGGCGGAGTTCCTCAGCCAATTCAACTTCCAGATTGTCTATCGAAGCGGGAAGCAGTCTGTTAAACCAGATGCTCTCAGCCGGAGACCTTGGGACACACCATCGAAGCTCAATACCACAGATTCACGAGTAGCAGCGAGACAACAAACGATCCTCCGAGCGTCACGTATATCCCCAGGCATGGCGGAAGAACGACTTTACGCGATAGATACCTCTGAAGACCTCGACGACCTCATCGATATGGCGTACAGCACTAATCATATGGCGAAAAAGGTGGTAAAAGCCTTACTAATTAAGAAATCGTGACCAAAGATCGTCAAGCGATTCATGCGAGTACCATTCAGTGACTGCAAATTGCGAAATGGCCGTATTTTCTATCACGATAAGCTCTTCATCCCTGAGAACGATCACCTGCGATCCCAAATCCAATATCGTACACACGCACTTCCTGCTAGCGGTCACCCAGGCGGAGCGAAAACAGCGGAGCTAATCAAGAGAAACTACTGGTGGCCAGGCATGTACAGAGAAATCAGCGGTTTCGTGGGAGCCTGTCACACTTGCAGAAGGGCCAAAGGACTCAAGGAGAGCCCCCAGGGCCTGTTGCACTCGCTAACCGTCCCGTACAGGCCCTGGTCTGATATCTCAGTCGATTATATCACTGGTTTACCTGATTATATACGCCACGAAGTCGTCTACAAGCATATCTTTGTCGTGGTTGACCGTCTGACCAAGATGCGTTACTCCGTAGCAGTCAATAAACTGGACGTGCCCACGATGGTCGACGCTTTCGTTCACAGGGTGTTCTCTCTTCATGGCTCCCCCGAGTTTATTACTTCTGATAGGGGTTCACAGTTCGTATCGCAGTTCTGGCAACGGCTAGCAGAGCGCCTGGGCTCCAGGCTCAAACCCTCGTCTGCGTATCATCCGTCCACAAACGGTCAGACAGAGATCATAAATTCCGTGCTTGAACAATACCTCCGGATATACATATCGCTCGATCAGGACGATTGGGTGGATCACTTGCCCCTTACAGAGTTTGCCTTGAACAACACTGTTTCCAGCACCACGAAGTTCTCACCGTTTTTTGCTAACTACGGCTGGAATGCACGCCTCGGCATCGAGCCACCCTCACCGCGGCCGCCTGACCTGTCCAGGGATGAGGCACGGGAGTGGGATAAAGCTGACAAACACGCTGACCTTATGAAAAACCTCCTCGACGAACTTTGTCACAATATGGCTCGAGCCCAAGAAGATTACGAATAGTACGCGAACGCGAAGCGCGGCGATGCCCCCGTTTACAAGAAAGAAGACCTCGTCTGGCTTAGCTCTGAGAACATCGTCATGCAACGGCCTTCAAAGAAGCTGAGCGATAAGTGGCTTGGCCCGTTCGCAGTATTGCGAATATATAAGTGCGCGTGCGCTCTCGAGCTGGATGGTCGATTCAATGGCATTTTTCCTGTTTTCCACCACTCTTTGTTGCGACCAGTAGCAGAACCACGTACACAGGACCAAGTCGAGATTAACGACTCTCAGGAGGACCAGAAGGACCTTATCATCGTGCCGAACGACAAGGGTCGCCTCCAGAGGAAGTGGGTGTTTGACAAGGTAACGGACAGTCGTATTGTTGGATGCAAGCGAGTTCAGATTATTCAGGTTGTCAAGTGTGTTCTGTTGTTGTGCTTGTTCTTCTCTGCTTCTTCAGCGTACAGAGATTGATCATCTGTCTTCTTGGTGGGTCAGATGCCCTGTGCGTCTCTGTCCCACTGGAGATCTTCCGGTGTCTATTTCCGGCTCCCATTCAACACGTATGGACCAAACAGAAGGACTAATGTACAACGTTCTGTGGCAAGATGGAACAGCTTCATGGCAACCTGCCCGAAACCTCCAGGGCTGCCACTGGATTATGTACGACTTCCACCAGAAAAACAAGGGGAAGCCAGGTCCGCCATGGTGGTTCAGGAAGAAGGAAGCCCTCGAACAGAGGGTTTGGCACGAAAGACGGGCACAGAGTGAATCAGAGTCAAGTGACGATACAGACAACGATTCAGTTGAGAACTCCGAAGAGAGCGACGATAACACTGATTTTGATGTCTGAATTGCCTCATTTGCGGTCAAATGAGGTTTAGAAGAGGGGAGTACTGTCAGGAAGTGAACAAAGGACCTTGTGTGTACATATACAGGGCCACCACGCCTGATAGTTCAGTCTCCTTGAAGAATGTCGGCGCAGACGATGAGGGCTCGGTCTGCGCTGAACAGAATCAGGAGGCTATCGACGCCGAAGAGGAGGATACTGCTTGCATTGAGCATGACGAGGAGGACACCAGCGCCGAGCAGAAGGAGACCTTTACCGCGGATGAACTTTCAGCGCGGAAGACGACTCTGGCGCCGAGCAGCAGGAGACTCCAAATGCTGGAGAGGACGGAACTTCCGACGTTTAAATGAGAGACGAGATTCTCGGCGTCGAGGGGAGGATATATGACCCCTAGGCCAGCTGACGGTCCAGATGACGCTTGCTGGCCATGGAGATGAGGGCTCCCCTAGATAAATGTTCGTACCAAGTTGATGGGACCACCAGACTATCACTCTTGCTGAGCCAGAATGGCTTGTTCTTGGTTGCAACAAGGGATGGATATCAATGTGGGAGCTTCTCAGGAGGTGGGTCTCTTGCCACGACCAAGTCGAACACTGTCATGGCGGCTCCTCCATGTCGGGCTGCTCATATCCAGGAGCTGGTACTCAGCGCCTTGCATAGGCAGTATCGAGAAACAATCCACGTCATCGTGTACTTGAAGGTAGACAGGCAAGACCAGTGACGTTGTACTATCGCTTGTCTGAACCCGGCGTCAAAATGGTAGATCAACCGGCTGATTCCTCGTGTTGCACAGCCGTCACCCAGTACCTTACTTTCAGCTTGATAGCCACGGGTGCACTAGGAAAAGCGCGCGCTCGCCTACAAGGCAAGCTTGAAACGGCCTTCAAGCTTCTAAAAGATAGAGGCCGCCGGCTTGGAAGCTCCGTTGCTGTCCGTCCCACTGGGAGAACGCGGGCAGCCAGAATGCTCGGTTTACACGCCCTCAAGATATACTGAACCTTGGAAGCTCTCACCATACCTTCTCCGCCTCCAAACACAACATCGTCAGCTCGAGATAAATGCTGCAAATGGCCATACCATGTCGGGAGACCGGAGTGAGTCGTCAAGACGATGAGTCGCAGAACCTAGCCGCGAGCCTCACCACCTCCGACAGCAAGCGGCCAAGACGGGGGTTGTACCCAAACGTGCCTCCTTTGGCTGGTCAGAAATGCATTAGTGGTGGGGTTCAATGGCACGTACCTTTATGTGTGAGACACTGTCTTTACTGAGGAATATAATAGTGATTCAGGTCGTGATGTTGCGAACAGGGGGGCATGGTGAACCTCGGCCGTGTCGCGAAGTACGTGAGCAGACGCGGCACATAGAAGGAGTGAACTGACCTGTCGGCCGACCTATGTGCGAGGCCAACGACATCACCGTATGCATTCGTGCAGAGTCGGGATTAAAGGCGTGAGACATCGTTTATTGGCCGATAATGTCAATGTCCTCCGAGTCGTTCAACTGATGGCACCGGGGCAAGCCCGGTCATGTCATGTACAGATGGGTATCTGGCCTACTCCCGGAGGCCAATAATCCAGTCAAGAGATCCATCGTGTCGCCATAAGTTTGGAGGACCAGATGTAACCTTCCGACTAGATTTCCTTGTCCTAGACACCACCGATTTCACACACCCCGACACTGCCACAGCGACAGGTCTTTTTCATAGGCACCGCTCATCTGCCCTGTGACGAGCAATGCCGCCAGTCAGGGGCCGAGGCCGTGGCGGCAAGGTGGGCGGCCATGGTTAAGGGCGCCATAAGCACCCTGTGGTGGTATTGTGAAGAGCAGTCGGGCACGTGAAAGCTGCTCGCTTTGCTTCATCCTCGAATACTCCATGTCAAGACGAGATTCGCACGGGCTGGGGACTGAGTCAGAGGTGTTGCGGCGGAGGCATGGGTGCCTGGGGGCATGACGGTATATCATGTGGATGCAGGCAGAATAGAGCAGGATGGGTCATGAGGGGGCTATGGGCGAGTGAGTGACGAGATCGAGACCTGAGACATGATGAACCAGATGGGAACAAGATGCCATCTTTCCGTCATGACGTGACCATATAACATGACTTCATTAACGTCAGGACCTGGGGATCTCGCTCGGGATGCTGTACGTGATGCCGCAGCCAACTCTCCGTGGCTGTCCACTCGCTTGCTACATTCATCTCCACCTCCATCTCCACCTCCATCTCTTGGACTGGGGACACTCGTGCTTGTGCCGGTGTACGTGAGGCCGTGATGTCCAACACTGCGCGCCATCCACTTGCTCGCCAGTGCCCCTATTCTTCGATGGTGTCCCCTGACTTCATCATGGACTTTGGTCCCTCAGTCGTCCGAGGATTGGGCGTTTTGCCGTGCTTCCGTTCAAGACTTCTCGAGTGCTATACATCATCGTTGGAGGCCTTCTATAACTGTAGCACCGTTAATCGGGCGGATTTCTCGTGTCTCTCCGCGCATAGAAAAATCCCATGGCACTGTGACGTAGGATGACGATACCCTCAGGGCTCTGCTGCTTTCTCCGCCAAGGAGCTCCATTCCCGTCCCGGCCAAAGTGACGATCGTGACAGAAGCAAGGGGATGCCATTGAAGCCATCGTTCTCTGCTCCACAGCCCCCACTCACCACGTCGTCGGCCCCGTGAATGACGCGGTCGCCATCCATAGCTCGTGACATTTGTCGCCGTGACCAGAGAACTTCTTGTGTGCCTCTTTCCAAAGGAGGTCTTCTGCTCGCTCGTAAGGATGCATCACAGCGAATAATGCCGCTATAGTCTTGATCCTTTGGCCATCTGTAGGCTTCTTCTGGTCTCGCACTCATAACTTTGCGATATCTGTGGTCTTCCGGGTTGTCGGCGATGCGGCGGGTGTCATCGCGTGCTTCCTGCCGCAGTGCCCGCAACTAATCAGCTATCACCTTCTGCAGTAATGATGCTATCCCTTGTGCCATTAAATCGATAACCATGTAGCGTTCCGCTGCCTCGCTCTGATCCGGCAACATTCGTAAAGACATGTGCTTCGGTGTTTTAGTGCTTCACTTCGTGAGGAAGGCCTGCCTCCCTCTTCGTGGAGGATTATGACTCGCCATCCGATGTGGTCAGTCGCCATGACGGACGCGGCGATGCCTCTTAGTGCTCACGCACCATCGATCGCAACGCGCTGCCCACTCGGCGTTGTTATCCTCGGGCTGCCCCCTGAGCCGCACCGCATTGGTCAGACTGGTCTTGGAGGAATGGACGGATATGGTGATACATCTCGATGAATATCGTCGACTGCCTGTCCTGCAGCAACCCCGCATCATCCATCGACTTCTTTACGCGCTACTCTGACTTTGACCAAGTTGTAAACGCGCCATCGACCTTTTGTTCTTTAAACTGCTTACATGTGTAAGGCATCCGACAATAGTATCAACATTGCATGTCGCTCGTTCGTCAGCATGGCTGCCACCGTCACCGTATCTAGCGACCTCTAGAGCCAGCTGAGTGTCCGTGGTATTGGAGACCTACTGTAAATGTGCGCCATTCCCTGGCGCGGTATTGCAAACCCAAACGAATCACTAGCGGGTTCGTCCACTATACCGGCAGCCCACGGCCCTTTAGGAGCCCAGCGCAGGCGGGATTGATCGCGACGGTTCGCACCACCACTTAAAGCATGGGTTTAGGAGTGCATTCAGAATCTTTCAGCTACCAGCCTGCCTATGTGGTCCGTTACGGCAAGGAGACCAAACTGGACTGGACGACTGGACTCGGACTTAGACTTGGATGATGGATGACAGATCGCGATTGGCGGATGGATGCATTCAGGACAACCCGCTATATACCCGACTGGAGTTCTTCCGCGGCCGACAGCAAACTCCCTGCCCACCTGAGCACTAAACCCGCCGATCCCTGCAACGCTACGACGCCCCCATGACCCGACGCCTCACGCCCTAAAACGCCCTAAAGCCCAGCGGTCCGGCCCGCTGCACCCACCAGACTGGTCCTCTCCACTGGGCTGGTCCCGACTCTCCACCACCTGCAGCACTGAACTGCCCGAAAAAGATAGCTGACGGATCGTGATTGGTGCCCGGGCGCGCTGCACTGGCTCGTAAGCCACAAGCCTGCAGTGTTGGAATCAGCCCTAGCCCTAAACTCAACTCAACTCAACTCAACGTCAGTAGATCTTCACGTTGGAAGCTGGTGGCAGGACATACACCAAGACACAGGCATCAGAACTCGACAACATCGGTTTTGCACTGGGTCAACACACGCTCATTCAAAGCCGGTCCTGCTGGCTGACTGCATGTGGTTTTAGCTGTGAGTGCTTTTCTAGGTGGCCTAGCCGGCTGCAATTTACAGGGCACAGACTGTCACTAGGAAAGGCATAGACTGAGACAGGACACGGACTGTCACAGGCATCATCCACGGTCCGACTGTTCACGATATAAGGGTGAGGCAGATGTGGAAACGCACACATGAGTACAGAAGTATAAGTGTCCTGAAGAGGTCCACGTGAACCGTGAACTTGATACATGCACCTATCTTGGAGTGCCGCTATAACAAAAGAGAATAGTAAGTCATGCAGTGGTACGCTATGGCTCGCATCCAGCCATTCAAACCCCAGTCCAAAATCTGATAGTCATGCTAGGCGCCCGTGTCAACTCATCCTTCCCATGTCCCTACTCATATCCTCCTATCCATGTCCTCCAAGGCCGGTATGTAGACGATAGTCACCACACCATATCGCATATGTACCAACGCTCGTCGCTCAACCTTCACTCCAATCAAGCCACAGTTGCCCACCCATCTTGACCGTCCAATTGCCTTGCTAGGCTGACCATATTTTTGGCCTGCTTGACCAAGTCATTCAGCATATGCATGAGGGCCCCTCGACGAAGAGAGTTGCTTTCGCTTGGCCGTCCGACGCCCGGGGTCGCATCTGTCACGGGCCCGAGGTTGATGAGACGCCGGTAGAGCATGATCCGCGTCGATATGTAGTTCCCATCGGCCGAAGGCTGGCTAGTGGCATATGCCATCTCCTTATTGTTAACTGTCATCCGCCGGTTGAAATCGGCCACCACCTGTTCGACATCCGTCCACTCCTGTGTAGAATCGGCCATGTTGGTCATCTAAAGCTCTGACGGATGTAGGAGAGCAAGGGAGGGAGGCGCCCGGAACCGCTGGTTGGTATCGAAGACGAAGAGGAAGAGATTTCCGAACCTCTGTCTCTGTGTATCTGTATCTGCTATCGAGCACATGAGTGGGAGACCGAGTGAGGAAGAGTGCCGGAGTCTGAACTTACGGTCGGAAACGAGAATACCAGCGGGCAGATCAGACAGCCTGATCGGATGAGGGGAGATGTCTATGATTCTGGGTTGTTAATGGTTGATGAGCGGCTGGTTTTCATATCATAGACTGTGTGCGCGTGCACGATTGATATACGTAGATGATGTCTGTTAGGTGGGAGTTGGGATCTTGTTGATAACTGTCTGTCTGGGCCGAGATTTGATAGAATAGAGTGAACAATAGGAAGGTTGAAGGAAGAGGGAAAGAAGCCAAGGCATCTGGTGACCCCGTGGCAACGACTTCCGTCTTTTGCGGCGGCAATTGGGGCCATGGACCTCGTCCTCCTTCTTCGTGAAGGTCTACCCGTGGACATGGTGTGATTTGACGGCAAGTGTGAGGCACCCTCTCGCCTAGTACTAGTATGTGGAAGAGTCAAGAGGTATGTGGGAATGGAAGGGAAGTCAGTCAACCTCTCCACTGCGTCCAGATTTCTGTCGGCAGCTGCTGGGCTCAAGTCAAGGTGAAGGTGCAGATCTAGATCCAGGAAGGTAGGTACAGGAAAGGGCGAGACGGACAGAATGACATGCGACTGCCATGTGATAGATAGCCCCAGGTCACCATGACGCATGACGCATTCTGGTCAAGACCAAAACACTATCACGATCCGAGCCGTCGCTGTTTCCGCACTTCATCTCTGTGCCCTCTTGCTGGGGTGGCATCACATCACCACATGGCCGCATTATACTTCTATCCTCCATCTACACCCACGCACGACATGCAGCCATCGATGAACCAGCGCCTCGCTCACAGGCCCGGATCTTGATACTGCTCGACCCATTCATTCATTCATTCATTCATTCTCTCATCCCACTCGCATCATCTGTCCGGGCCGCTGTCACATGTGGTCTACTATCCAGCGGCCACGATACCCAAGCCCAATGTCATCCGTTCCTTTGCAAATGCCAATGCCCATGCCCGACTCGGGCAAATGTTCACTGTCTATCGGCCTTTGGGGTTTCGGCACCGGATGTGTGGCACTGCTACAGGCTGGGTGTGTAACCACCTGTTCTGTCCTGTGCCGCCGAAAAGTGGCACAGGTTGTGCGGCACAGGCTGGGTCTGTACCTAGGTACCTGTGCCACCCCCATGCTTGTATTGTTCCGCGGCCTTTGACGACACTGGCCATAGTCTAGGTTCTTCTCCCCTATTTTAGAATCCCACCAATCAACACCATGGTACACATCCTCAATGCGCATGTACTGAGATCAGTCAATTGACTAGTTCTATATTATGATGCATCGATCATGATTCCATACTGCTTGCGATTGTGCTCGGTGCAAGAGAGATGATCTAGACAGGACATCCACCACCACTGCCTCCATCTACATCTACACATCCGTTCCAATTGTCATGTCGGGATCATACTTACACAGGATATCAACTGGTTCGCTAGTCGGTCAATTGAGACTGACCTGCTTTGCTCCCCAAGTACCGTAGGCAGCGCATTGCTGATCGTTTATGTCATGCATGTGCTCTGAACATCTTGTCTGTATGATACGTGGGATGTAGGTCGACCGTGGTAGTCTCAATGAACACTAGATAAGTTAGGTAGTTCCCACATACTATATACATGCAGCGACCGCAGGGCGCCAGGACGATGCCTCCATGTCCGCGTCGGGCGCTCTTCCTCCTCTGTAGCCTGTCCGTCCGAACTGTCCTGGCCGGTCTTGCCCAGGTATGAAGAGGCTGGACTACACTTGCCCGCTCAGCATTTACTGGCTGTAGATTGGGCATATCTAGTAGACTCTGCCGCCGCGCCCCGGAATCTGAAGTCTCTTTTCTTTCGGTGCGTGATAGTAGATCATCGCCAATGCTCATCATTGGCTGATAGTTTTCTCGCTTCTTCGCTATTTCGCTCGCCCGCCCGCCTGACCGACCGCCCGCCCACTCACTCACTCAACCACTCACCCACCCACTCACTCACGATGGCGGACCAACAACGGCCCGCAAACAACATATTTCGGGACGACGAAGAGATGTCGTCGCTGCTGGGCGAGATCCGAGCTCGCAGCACTGTGTTCTCGCCTCCTGCTGTTGAAGGGGCCGATGTGCCATCGTTGAAGGACCTTTGGCACCAACTGTACGTATACATCATCACTATAACGATCACTATAACGCATCCCCCACTCAAGTCGAGGGTTGGGAACCCCTGAAGACATATATCAATGTGCTGCTTCTTGATTATGAGCTGTGTATTTTGCCCAGCCCCTATTCTCACTTATTGCCCCTGAACACTGCTTTACCACACTGGCACAAGCCCCCTATTCCCCTGAGAACTGCCCCATAACAGACACAGACACCAAACGACTACCACACATATATATAGGCATCAGCGCTTGGTGGATCCTAGTGACCGAGATGGTCGCCGCCGGCCGCGACATCAACGAAGTAGGCGACTGGCCCAAGTTCGCCCGCGCCGCCCTCCCCGGCAACCTCTTAGATCTCGCGATCCACGCCGTGTTCCGCGACGACGCCGACGCCGCACGGGCCAAGGGCCACGAGCACCAGAAGCGCCTGACGCGCGTTTTGGGACTGGCCGGCCGCATCTCTGTGCGGGAGTTCATGTTCGAACTCAGCCCGGAAGTGGCGGGCTCGACCGCCAGCCTCAAGATTATCTCGGCCCTGATGGCCAGCCGGCAGACACCTGGCGTTGGTTGGGGGCCCGTCGCCGACGAGATCAAGAGGCAGATGTTGGCGCGGTGCCGGGACTCGGCCTTGGTGCAGTCGCCTAGTGCGGCTGATGTTGTTGCTACTGCTGCTGGTATGTTGGACACTTCCATCAATCTTGTCTTGCCCCTAACGAAGCCCCCTTTCCGAGTTCAACCCCCTTTCCAAGTTTCAACACATTTGCGAGATCAACCCCATTCGCTGGCCAGCCCCTCTCACTGGCCAAGGCCCTCTCACCTGCTCACATATTGGCCATGGGACCAAGACATGTACCAAAGCTCCAACTTCACATGAGTCAACAGACCAGGCCTTCGTTGAACCGCGGTTCGATCCTGCCTTGATCTCAAGTCTGACACTCGTCTACTCGACCTCACATCCGCAGCTCATCTTGATTTCACTCACCACTAGCAACCAGAACCCGAACCTAACCAACCCCCCTAGCTCTGCGCGCGCGTGCTGCTCCCGCCCCCGCTGAAGACAAGACGACGACGACGACGACGACGACGACGACGAGGCCGAGATGGCGCGGGGTGGTGTGGGCGGGCTGGAGTGGCTGGGCGAGGAGCACTCGCTGTTGTCGCTTGTGCGCGGTGACCAGCCGCAGCAGCAGCAGCAGAATGTGCTGCATCAAGAGCAGCAGCAAGCCGAACAACATCGCGCTGCCCGTCGTCGTACCATGCGGCGACTATGTCGCGAGATCCTGGCCCTCGAGCCAGCCTCGGTTGAGGAGGACGGCGCCTGGCTTGTCGGTGCCTAGGAGTCGGTGCGCCTTGGGGCGCAGAATACCGTGGTGGCCGCTCGTGCCAGTTCCTTGACTGGTGAGCTCGAGGAGGAGGAGAAGCAGGATGCTTCCAACAACAACTAGGTGTGTTTTTCCGTGCGGGGGGGAGGTGTTCTCGGGTCGTTCGGGTCGGGGTTTTCAAGCAGTATATATTAATACAACGAGCACGTGCGAGTGCGCGTGACATTCACGATGCATTGAAACCCCTTCTGGATTGATCTGTGACGTTCAGCTACCTACCTAGGTACCCACGTCTACATCAACCTCACGCCCGAGAATGACCGACTCGAACCACGGGCGGAACCGAGTAGCCACCCACCATGCCAGAGCCCTCAGCGACCGTACCAGTTTAAACGTGCCGAGAAGCGTCGCCGTGGATCCTATAAGGAGAGGACCGTGGAGATCGATGTTGTGAGGACTGTCGCGTGCGAACCAGAGATGCCAATCATGCCCGCGCACCTGAATCAGGGGGAGTGTGATGATGGATTCCACTTCCAATGCGTCGTTATCACCATTACCGCCACCAGTCTGCGCCGGCGCCTGTAGTTGCCTCAGCCGCTCGAACGAGGCAGCGGCCCATATGGTCAGCTGGACGAGCGGGTCCGACGCGGCGTTGGCCACCTTGGTCTCGATAGCCACCGCTTGAGGCCTCGAGCGCACGGGGGCGTACATTGTCGGCGCCAGCGTACGACAGGCGGGTGGCTGCCGGCGCATGATGTCCGTCATCATCTCCCCAACGTCGAGGTCGAGGTTCATAGAGTAGTCGACGAATTTTGACTGTAACAGGTCGCCCCCGCGTTCGAGCCGCGGGAGGAACTCGAAACAAGGCGCCGCCGATGTGCTGTACCGCGCGGCATCAGCCAGGTAGTCACTAGGTAGGTTTTCGGGCTTGGATGACTTACATATTGAAATAGCGGACTGTAGGAACCCGCCACAACGCGAGCTTGAGGAGAGGAGTATGTACTTGAGAGTTCCACGACGCTTCCGAGTGCCCCTCGGAGAAACAGCAGTTGGCCATGGCGGAGAGGTCTTCGGCCAGGTCGATCTCCCTCTCGAGTATCACCCTGTCCGCCTCCGCCACGGGGCTGTTGTCGATCTGCCACTCCTTGACGGGCCTTTTGGGACGTTCAAACCGTGCCTAATCGTGGTCAGATCAGAAAAGGCGGAAGGGGACAACAAGATGGAAGACCTGTGATAACCTACCTTGGCAGCAGCCGGTATCAAACCCTCGCCATCGTTGATCTGAACGAGTGTCTGGTAGAGCTCCTCGACATCATCGGGCGGGCCGAGATCAAACGAAAGTGTCTGCGGCGGTTTCAGAGACAACCGCAGATCAGCCATAGACTTGACAGGACTTCTAGCCCTGCCAGTCGACCTGCCAGTCGACGCAGAGGATCGCGAGGGCGACGAGAAGACATCTGCGCGATCTGCATCCGCACCCGCACTCGAGCTGGAAGGCAGAGGCAGAGGGACCCTGGAAGACAGCGCGTCGGCCCAGATTCTATTTGCAAATCTCGAAGTCGAGCTCGGCGGTTCTGCTTCTCGTTCTGGGTCTTGCTCCTGTCCCGGCTGCGGTTCTCCGTGCTTGTTCGGCCGCCTCGATGTTCTCGTTGTCCGGCGGCGAGGGCTTCCATCCTGACCTGTCTCTCCTCCTCCACCTCCTCCTCCTTCTGCTGCTGCTGCTTCTGGTGGTATTCGGCGACTTCGCGTCGTCGGCCTGGGGGTGCGCTCCGCTTCGGCTTGGGCTTCGCGTTCTGTTTGGGCTTTGGCGTCGACTCTCTCTTCCTCGAGGAGAATGCGTTCGGTGAGGTTGAGGGATATGTCAGTATGGTGTGGAGGACGATGGTGCGCGACATCATAGCGGCCCTTCCCTTTGCCTCTCCGTCGCGTCGCGGAGGGTTCGGACATGTTGAGGTCAATCGAGGCAAATGCCTTTCGCTTCGTCGGCTTTCGTAGCGATGGGCGCGACCGCGGGGGAGATGGGCAGGAGGCAGGCTGTTCGGAATGGTTTTCCTTCTCGTCGGTAAGAGATAGCCACGTGTTGATCATCGACCGTGGCATCGCCATTGTGCCATGTATGAAGGAGGGGGAGGGGAGACGGCAAGAGTGACGATTGTCGGTTGTCGGTTGTTTACTTTGCGCCGACACAGAACGTCGCATCATGTCGGTCGGCGGCCCGGCAACATGCTGTCACAGTGTGGCTGTCGTAGTGTGGCCCTTAAACTGTGGCTTGGCAGGGTCGCAGCTTTGTGGCCTGTGCGTTCTTGAGCCAGGCCACATAGTCACGCGGAACAACTTGATAAGTCGTATTCTTGATTCACTCTACGTGGGCTGGTTGGCAGGCTCCAAATACAAGCTCGCAAGGATCCAACAAGGCTACAAAGGAGCTTCCAGCTAGTCCCTGACTTCCAGAGACCAATACTTACCAGGCCATCATGGAAGAAACGCCCAATCCGTAAAGACAAAGACAAAGAAACAGAGCTCTTCAAGCAATGGCTATAAGAGAGAAACGTGAACACTGACCTTGTCATCTACTCAGATGGATCACAGTTGGATGACCAAGGCACAACCCGCACTGGATGGGGTTATACCATCAGGAAAGGCGGCACTACACAAGAAGTATACCGGGGAAAGGGCAGACTTCTCCAAACAGAAGTAATAGATGCTGAAGTCCATGGTGCTCTCCAAGGTCTTGCAGCAACCAGGGTAATTGGACACGGAAAACAGCTATATGTCTGCCTGGACAACACGTCAGTGGTAGATGGGCTCAATGGGACTCCACCCAAGACATCACAAAACATTTTTCTACGATTTCAAGAACTTGCCACAGCACATACTCCTGGAGTGACCGTCAAATGGATTCCTGGACACAGAGATATTGATGGCAATAAAGCTGCCGACACACTAACAAAAGAGGATGCCATGCTAGAAACAGACACGACAAACCTTCCTACAATCTCTTGGGTCAAGAGAGATCTCAAAAAAAAGGGCAAGAAAGAATTCAACTAATGGTAGAAAGACCGATCAGAACCTAGATATCAAGAAGTATACTCACATACAATAACTAAAAAAGACCTTATATCTTTAAGAGGAGTACTTTACACAGACTTCTAGCGGCCAGATCTGGACATGGCGACTTTGCCAGATACCATGAACGCTTTGGGCACACAGACTTGAATGATCACTACAACTGTGGTGAGAAGAAAACACCACAACACATTTTCTTTTGTAAGAGGCTGGGAAAAAATCGGCTACTGCCTAGGCATTCGCCTAGGGCAGCTTGTTTACAATACTTAGGGGAGAGGAGCACAGAATGGGCAAAATTCATGGAGAAGAGCAAGTTCTTTTCAACAATCTGCCCCCGATAGATAGCCTTCCTTGAAGGACCAGATAGATGACCCCAAGGTCATACCGCCGCAACAACGGGGATGGGCCCGTGAGCGGGACTGACTGTACTTATTATCTTGAGACCTCCACAATCCTGCGATACAGAGGCTCTGGGAGGCGTGGTTTGCACTACTGAGGAGCTACCCCCTACGTTAAATACAAAACAAACAAACATTCATCTTCGATATTTTTGTCTATAGAGTCAGTTACCCCCTTGTCGTCTGCTTTGTCTCGTCTTAGGTGCCACTCGCCGTGACACAATATCGAAGATCACCACTCTCGTCTGGACAGCTGGGCAGCCTTGTCTCCCAAACTCCAGATTCCCTTTCTTTCGCTTGTAACTCTACGGGCAGCTCTGCCTCCCGTTTTACGAGCTTCATCTCAAACCCATCCAACCTCATTCCGCCCGATTAGGATCATGGCGAAGAACGACACCAGTCCGGAGTCCAGGACTTCCGAAGGCGCTGTAGAGCGCAAGTCGCAGTCAGACGGAGAGTCTGCCACTGCTTCCAAACAAGCAACTAACCCCAAACCCAATACTCGCGGTCACAAGAAGCCGACCCCGAAGAAGGCGAAGGGCAAGCAACTCGAACAACTTCAAGCTGAAATCGTGGTCGCAGGCCCCTCGGGAGCCAATTTGCCAGCGTACCCACCTTCAGGGATTCGAAATGAAACCCATCCCCACCAGGACCCAGCCGTACAGCAACCCTTGTCTGAAATGGTCCAACTGCTGCGTGATGAGATCAACCAGCTCCGCAGACAAGTCCTGGAAATGAACGTTGAGCACGCTTCCAGGCATTCATTGAGAACATCAACTGCGACCCGCAGACCTAGAAGGAACCAACGCCCAGAAACCGGCAGGCAAGGAACGTCCGGACCCCCGTCTGCGGTCTCCATACCGCGCTCAAACCCAGTCATCCCTTCGGTTGAGACACGGCATACAGTTTCTCCCGCTGAGACCCACTGGGCACAGACTGTGCTCCTTAGTCAGTGGACGTGCCAAGGAGATTCTTAACTCCTTTACAGCACGCAGGAACCCCCAAGCTTACACTACCATCGAGGAAGTATACGCCTTGATGAAGAGCAGCTTTAGCAACCCTGATAAGAAAGCAAAGGCCGTAACCCGGCTAGCATCGCTTTGGGTGCAGCCAGGCCAGGAATTCTTCATCTTTTGCGCAGACTTTGTCAGGACGGCAAGCGTGGCTGAAATGCCCATTTCCGAGTGGAAGTCCAACCTGAATAGAAGGTTAATACCTGTTCTACGCTCGCACGTCATGACCCAGTTTTTGGATGACTCCTTGGACTTCAATGCCTTTCAATCGCACTGTTCGAATTCCGTTCAACAACTTCAGGAGATCGAGCGTCAAGGGCATGAACGGCCACTCAAACCACGCAACCGTCTCGCTGCTACGACCTCCCAATATGCTGCAAGGACTGCTTCTACACCTGTTCGTACGAACTACGAAACAGCACTTCAGTTAACTGCGGCGCCTCCAAGAGATAACCGCGTACGCACCTCTGCTTTTGCACCACCACAGCGCAGCTCTATGGCACCTAGACAATCCCCGGCTCCCATCTCATCAGTGGAGCGATGTCACCACTATGGGCAGACAGGCCACTGGCGCAAGGATTGCCCCAGTCTTCCCGCAGGAGTCCACATGGTCGAAGAAGACCATGAGGAACCACATATAAAGAACAAGGAGGCTTCCTTGTGTGAAGACGAGCTTTTGGGAAAAGACCTCGCCTAGGGAAAGTCTCCCCCCTAGGTCCTGTAATCAGTATCAACCAGCTAGCTGCAAGCAATCTCAACCTCCACTCTATCCAGAGCCTGATGGGGGGGAACGCATTCATTGTGAATATTACCCTCAGGTATCAAGGGATTGCGATTTCGATGAAAGCACTAGTTGATACCGGAGCACAAGCATGGCTACTTGGAGACCGCCAAACCCTCTCCCGAATTGCCCAGCAACAAGACCTTGAGCGTATACACTTCGATCGAAGCGTAAGCGTAAAGGGATTTGAGAACAGGGCATCCCAGCGCATCCAGAGTGCCGTCCTCGCCAATCTCCAGGTCCATGGCCGCACGTTCCGCAAAACCCCCATTCTGGAAGCAGACTTCGGCGGACGATCCGACTTTCAGGTGATTATTGGCAACAAGTTCCTGGCATAATACGGCTTACTCCTTGACTGCCAGCGAAACCGGATTCTCTTTCCAAAAGAAATACCGTACAGGAAGGATTGGCGCGCTGATATCACCACCCCTGTCAAGATGTTTTCGCGGCAGATAAATCAGAAGGCACAGCTGGATATGCTTCGAAGAGACTGTCTCTGGGAAGGTCAACTTTCTCGCTTATTTCACGAGGGACAACCTGCCCCTACTGTTACACCTCTCTACATCTTGGAACGTGGTGAGCCTCAACCAACTGACAGTTGGGACCGCGGCATATCCCAGATGGAGCGCTCCTTACGAGATGAACTCTCCCCTCAACGTACTACTCAGGAGACCCGCATACGAAAGCAACATTCTCATATACCGGCGCCTTGCAAGCCATCTATGAACCTACGCCCCTTAGGTTTAGATGTGTGCGTGATTTCTGGGAACACTTATTTCCGTTCTATTCGAAGACCAAAGGGAGACTGGCATGCGTACCAGGAATTTGACAGCTTTTTGATAATGATGCTTGACCGGACCATTGAGGACTCTTTGAACAAAGAGGATGAAGTAACCCGAGCAGAGATTCTGGACAGGCTACCACCGGCGCTGCACGATCTGACAGATGCCTTTTCAAAGACTGAGAGCAATATCCTCCCACCTTTCCGAAAGGATATCGACCACAAGATTGACCTGGTCGATGGAGCCACTCCTATAAAGACCCACCCACTGTACGGAATGTCGACAGCCCAGTTAATGGCTCTCAAAGAGTACCTCACAGAGAACCTCCGCAAGGAATGGATTATGCCTAGCGGTGCAGAATACGGCTCCCCAGTACTATTCGCTCGTCTTCCGCCAACGGTTAGCGGAGTCGTATCTGGATATCTACAGGATATTTTGTCAGAACCGGTGCCGCGTACGACGGACGCTGTGTCACCACATACAGGAATGGGACACGATTCAACTCGACGTCGAGCAGATCGACCAGTTCTTGCAAGTCAACCTCGGCGAGATGTGGCCACTGCAGACTGAGCGCGGCGAGATCGGATTCGCACTCCCGCTTTCGTCGTGGGCTTACCTGTACAAGCTCCGGCAGATAGAGTGGATTGTGCAGCTCGGGTTTGAGCTCTCAGTGTACCAGCCCGACGAATTGGCGGGCATGTACTGGTACCTGAACTACCTAGCCAAGACTCGCGCACAACACGGCGACCGCATCAAATCGTTCACGCAGAGGGCGCGTGAATCCCAGCACAAGACGGATACTCCGGGGCGCGAGCATGAGCATTCCCGGTCACAGGCCTACATCCGCATCACCATGCTCGACGCGGCCTGCACTTGGGAGTTCGCCGACGGCCTGTGCTGCCTGTACACGGTGCTCCAGCGGCTGGGGCTCGTCAAGTCGCCACCGCGTCCCTATAGCACCGACGCGCTGCGGTACGATATGCGCATGAAGCCGTTTGCGTACATCGCGCTGCCGCCGCTGCCGACGTTCGACGAGCTCACGCGCGCCACGGCCCAGCCCGAGACGTCCATCGCCGACCTCATGCGCTACGCTGAGAACGCCGTCGGCGGCGCGCGCAAGGGCTACGAGGCGCTGAGCAAGTTCAGCGACGCGCAGGCGTTTGCCGTCGGCTCGCACGCCGTGTGGGTAGCTAATGTGAAGGGCTGTCTCAAGGCTGCGATCGCGGCCGACGTGGCCATCTCGACGGTGCAGAAGGCGTGGGCGCAGATGGAGGCTGAGGAAACACCGGGCGGTGAGGGGGACGGTGATCCTGAGGAGAAGGGGAAGGGGAAGGGTAAGGAGAAGGAGGTGGTTGGGGGTGGTAGTGAGGGTGGTAGTAAGGGTAAGGCCAAGGAAAACGCTGGGGCCGGGGGTATGGATCAGGGCAATATCAAGTTGAAGCTTGAGATGCCGGAGCCGGGTAAGGGGTATCACGACTGGTGGGTTGTGCCGAAGCTCATTGCTATTGCGTGAGCTGGGGGCTCAGGGTAGGGAGATGGTCGAACGGCTTTGTCTTTGGCTGAGCGTGGCCTTATTGAAAGAGGAGCGAGATTACTGTTAGAATGGGCCTTCTATTGGTCGATTTCACTTTTTGAGCTTGCGGTAGGGGCAGAGAAATACAGTTGTAAAGACCATGGCATGGTTATACGACCAATAGTGGTATGTTGCTGCTATTTCTTGGTTTCAATGTTGTTCATTATGTCATTTGGCTACTGTGTATCTCGATTGTTTCGAGCTCGCGCTTCGTCACAATGTCTTTGGGTTGCTTCATACATCAACTGCAATGTATCGTTCATCGCGCCCCTTGTTACCGGGCGGAGATCCTGCCAGCCCATCATCGATACCATACAGCCCATCTTACAAGCGTCTACGAGCTTTGAGACCCTGACTAGGTAGACATACAAGCTTCCATCATCAACTTCACCCGGTGGTGGCCCTAACCCATCCATCATAACAACAGCAAGAGGCCCGCAGAAGCTTTGATCCATCAAACTGCATTCAATTATGTACAATCCGAAGCGAAGGAAGGTGACGTATTGGACAGTGACCTGACCCTGGTATTCCAAGGTTTCCGATCTTTTTTTCATAACTGAGAGGTTTTCTCACCAACCCTCTCTGTTTCGTCTATGCCTTGAGGGCGGCCTTCCGGGCCATGGTGCCGCGCAGCTTGACGGTCTGCTCGTACAGCACGTCCTTGAAGGCGAAGAGGAAGGCGGCGGTCATGACGCTCTGGGTGACCTTGGGGCCGATGCCTGGCGTTGAGTGGGGTCAGTACACCATTGTGGAACAACTTCCTGTTCGGAAAAGGGACAACGAAGGGGAAAGGAAGGATTGAGACTAAACGGCACATCGCGAACGCAGCCTGTATCGAGATGAAGAAAGGAAAGAAAACACTAGCGGGCTCACCCTTATAAAGCCCAGCATACCCCTCCTCCTTGACGACGCGGCTGATGGCCTGCGCCATGCCCTCGCGGCGGCCGGCCTTGTTGTCGGCGACATGCATCTGGCTCTTGACGGTGATGTAGGGGTACGTGATGGACGTGGCGAAAAGCTTGCCCAGGGCGCCGAGCAGGAAAGCCAGCGTGGGCGTGATGTTGCGGCGACGCCGCCTCTCCAGGCGGTTCTTGAGCTGCTCGAACAGCGTGTACTGCAGAATCGGGTTGATGACGAGCACGAGGGCCGGGATGACGCCGCGGAAGAGCGCCTGTGGGCCCTCCTCCTTGAGCAGGGCCATGAGCGTGCCGATGGTCGTGGGCTGTGTCTTCTTGGTGGACGCGCCGCTGTTGATGGCCCCCTTGACCTCCTCCTGGTGCTCCTTGCGCGTCGTCATGCGCGTGTTGACGACCCAGATCGGGTTCGTCAAGATGACGGTGGCGGAGCCGGCGAGGGCGCCGGCCATCATGGACTCGACCGTTGTCAGTTTCTTGGAGGCGCGGCCGGCCTTGGTGGCGGCCTGCTCAAAAAAGGCGCGCGTCCACTCGTACCAGTAGTAATAGACAAAGTTGGTGACGCTGATGCCGAAGACGGCGCTGTCGAGGCCGGCGTACAGGCCCGATACGCCCTCGCGCGCCACGATGCGCTGCACGGCGGCCAGGAAGCCCGTCTCGGCGCGCTTGGACTCGACTTGGGCGCGGGTTGAGAGCGTTATGAGGGGGTATCTAGAGAGAAGAGGTCATCGTTAGTTCGGACTGGGTGGGAGGAACGCTGCCCTGCGACGGGAAGGGAGTTGGTGGCGGACGTACGTCAGGACCATAGACAATATACCCCCTCCGGCGCCAGCAAGGGCGTGCGCGACGTTGTCGTTCTGCGGGATGACGGGTTTCGAAGCCATTGTGGCGGTTTCTCTGGAGCAACAGGGAAGATTCGTAGGTTCAGCGAAATATGGATTTGTCTGTTCAATGGAGAAGAGCAGGAAGAGGACGTATGATGGGATATCGCGTCAAGTGACGAGGAATGCGGGACTGCAATGTCAGCAACGTCTACACCCTGGTCGATGCTTTTCCGTTGGTTCTTGAGCCGAAGAGAAGAGTAACGTTTTCTTGTATGTGCATTGCCGGCTTCTGTCCCATGCCTTCAGGTTGTTGCAGTGGAGGTCAGACGATGAAACAAACCGCCACCTTCACTGCATACCTACATGTACATGCACAGCCAGCTATCACAGCTACAACGGTGACTTTGACCTGGGCATTGCAAGCCGGGATATATAAATAAAGTTCTTTTGGGGGCGGCGAGGTACGCACTGAACCTCGTTGGGCTGGGCCACATACCTAGCCGCGTCAGCCCTACCTAGTTATCGAAACTCATGGAGAGACAGCATGCAACAAGCTGTTGACTCTCATCCTGTCCTCAGGCCTATATACAACGACTCGGTACCATTTCTTCTCACTCCTACCTTGTTGTGTTCGATGCTGCCAGGGGTCCTATGTCACGTGACATACCTGTTCCGAAAATAGACAACCCCCAAAGGCAGGGTGGTATCACCAGCCTCCCATCCCAAAATAGCACCGGAAGGTCTCCCCGCATGCTCCCAGGCTATCGTCGAGACCAGCTGCAGATCTCTCATTCCTGCCCCCTCTCGCCCCTTTCTGCGACACCAGGAGGGCACGCAGCCGCCACACTCTTGTTTTTGCTCACAGTTGGCACATCTTTATACTCGACCAGCTCGGCTTTCTCCTTGGGGACCGGATGGAGTGCAGGCTGCCATTCCAACGCGCCCAGCTTACACTTCTAAGCATTTGCTACTTGGGGGTCAATCATACGTTTTGTTTGTTTGTTTTGTATTTAACGTGGGGGTTAGCTCCTCAGTGGTGCAGACCACGCCTCCCAGAGCCTCTGTATCGCAGGATTGTGGAGGTCTCAAGATAATAAGTACAGTCAGTCCCGCTCACGGGCCCATCCCCATTGTTGCGGCGGTATGACCTTGGGGTCATCCATCTGGTCCTTCAAGAATAGCTATCTATCGGAGACAGATTGTTAAAAAGAACTTGCTCTTCTCCACGAATTTTGCCCATTCTGTGCTCCTCTCTCCTAAGTATTGTAAACAGGCTGTCCTAGGCGAGTACCTAGGCAACAACCGATTTTTTCCTAGCTTCTTACAAAAGAAAATATGTTGTGGTGTTTTCTTTTCACCACAACTGCAGTGATTGTTCGAGTCTGTATGCCTAAAGCGTTCGTGGTATCTGGCAAAGTCGCCATGTCCAGATCTGGCCGCTAAAAGTCTATGTAGAGTGCTCCTCTTAAAGGATATAAGGCCTCTTTCAGTTACTGCATGTGAGTATACTTCTTGATATCTAGGTTCTGATTGGTCTTTCCACCATTGGTTGAACTCTTTTTTGCCCTTTCTCTTGAGATCTCTCTTGACCCAAGAGATTATAGGAAGGTTTATTGTGTCTGTTTCTAGCATAGCACCCTCTTTTGTTAATATATCGGCAGCTTCGTTACTATCAATATCTCTGTGTCCAGGAATCCACTTGACGGTCACTCCAGGAGTGTGTGCTGTGGCGAGTTCTTGGAATCGCAGAAAAATATTCTGTGATGTCTCGGGTGGAGTCCCATTGAGCCCATCCACCACTGATGTGTTGTCCAGGCAGACATATAGCTGTTTTCCGTGTCCAATTACCCTGGCTGCTGCAAGACCTTGGAGAGCACCATGGACTTCAGCATCCACTACTTCTGCTTGTAGAAGTCTGTCAATCATACGGAATGAGACAAGTCCTTGCTAGGCCCGCCATATCGAGCTGAGATCCCCTTATCATCCAAGAAGATGGGATAGAATCACCACAAGTGCGAAAACACCACAACAACGTACCGACCGCAGCTCTACCGTTCATATCCTCGTCGCTGTCTTGCAAGACTTTTGGCGAGAAAATGGCTTTCCCTACTGACGCTGGCGGCAGTGGCGCTCCCCAAGTGACTCCGGCAATCCTCAATCCGAGTGATACCCCTACGCCACCAGGAGTAGGAGTACGACCAACCTTGCCTCACAGGGGCGTGACAAGCGAATCCATCGATGATGCGTACGTGATCTTCATCCTCTATTGCAACCCCGCAGTGCCAATGGACGTAGATGATGCTGGGCTGAGGGAGGCTTTTCGGACACCCCCGAAAAGTGAGGGCAAAAGCTTCAGCACATTCACCCTCTTCGAACTCATCACACAATTGCATCACAAGGAAATCAAAACTTGGGCCGAACTAGCTCTGAGGTTAGGTGTCGAGCCGCCCGACCAGGACAAGGGCCAAAGCTCCCAAAAGATCCAGCAATATGCCGTGCGATTGAAGGTACGCCTCCGTTCGCCCTGGATTGACTCCCCTTCTGCTGCCAGCATAACTCACATTTCGGTAGCGATGGATGCATGCAATGCATGTCGATGCTTTTTTCGATTATTTGCTGGACAATCCTATCCCGTATTGGACAGATATTCCAACCAATCCAAATCCTGTCTGTGAAGATGGTCGCGATGGAGTTGCTGCTGAGGACGATATGGCTCTACAAGCCTTGTTGCCTCACATCCGGCCGCGTAGAGGCCGGAAGCGTCCGGAAGAAGATGGGCTCAGCAAACCACCGTCACAAAGGCCAAGGCTCGGCTCTCCGGTACCCAATGGAGAAGCCCGCCAGTCTCGACCAGACACTCTCGAACCGTGGACAGCTCACCCTGACGCCAGGCTTTCTTATGCCTTCCCACCCGTGGATCCGAGATCTAGTGTACTACCAACACCCGAGTCGGCATTCCCTTGGCCTGGCGATGTCTCTCAAGAACACAGGTCGTCATACCCACAGTCTGCTATCACACCTTCGACGAGAGGGTGGGCAGATCCTACTGAACCCCAATCCGCCACTGGTCCACGTCAGAACAGACTCCTCGGTCGTCGTCATGGTGCCAAAGCGGTATCGTCTGCTTGGAGAAATAGTAGCGGTTCTGCGAGCGGCAAAGCTCGCGGAAGCCCCCAATCAACCGCATCACCGAGGGTCCGCTCTCGGCGTATCCGCATGACACGATTGGATTTCAAGCTATTGATCCGGAGCAAATCCCCCGATCGACCGCAGCACCTGTATTGACTTATCCGCAGGAGGCGGCCCCAGAACCAGAGCCAGGGATAAGAATATCCGAACCCACGTCTGCGCAGAGTACACGAACACCTCGGCCGGCTCGTCTCTCTCTCCAAGTGCCTGAGAGAGCTGGTGGACCTGTGCGACTGGCGACACCGCCACCTCCAGTTGTCATGGTGAATGGAGAGCGCACTACCAACGAGGCTAACAACGAGGCTATCAACGTCACCGCCCACAACACCGCCCACAGCACCACCAACGGGACCAGCTTCGAGAAGGCTACAGCAGAGGCACATGCACAATACCGCTCGGCGCAAGAGTTCAAGTCTTTCACTGATCGAAGTGCGGCACTGTTTGAAGACAATCTCAACTCTAAACCGACGGCGGGGTTCAATATCAATGAAGAAGATACGACCAATCACGGGGTGGTCGAAGCTCTTTTCGCTGCGGCAATGATCCATACTGAGTGGTATGACGCGAACCGTCAGCCTTGCCCAGCCGGCAGCACTGATGAGATGCTGGCCCTATCCAAGACCATAATACAGGATATAGCGGACAGAGCGCTGACCAAAGAAGCCTTCTTGATCAACATATCAGCACTTGCCGGCGGGTCCTTCATGTACAAGAGCGCGACGCGGACAGTGACTCGAGCGGAAGTCGGTCTCGACTACACCAAATATCGTATTACTTGGGACCTCAGATACGGCAGTATCTCTGGCGACTTCTCAATGTATCAGACGGTTCCTCACTCCCTTTGGAAGACCGACAAGAAGCCGGAGGAACCGCCGTTGCCCTACGAGCCGCCGACGGACCCGGCCGCCGCTGCCGTGTACTGGCAGAAGAAGTATGACAAGGTCGTCGCCAATACAAAGATAGGGGCTGTCAACCAGTTGTTGGCGTTGTTTTAGGCATTTGACACCGGGTGGGGACAGCCGTATTGGCATTGACCCAGGGCCTGCCAGGGGGCGCGCGGCGTGCTAGGTTATGTTTTCTATGTCCAATACAATACACTACCTACCTATGTAACAAATCTCTGTCGTTACTAGAAGTCCGCACATAGCGTATACTATCATTACTTTTTCCTTTCTGTCTACGGCGTTTACTCCTACTGGCATTCCCGTCTTCCGGGTGACAACGTCGGCGAGGTATCTGCTGTCGAGCGCCTGTACTTGAGATACCCTTCTGGCTCGTGTGCGAGCGCCATCTTTCTCTGTATCTACCTACCTATCTCGTATAAAACTAGGCGTCGCGGGGGATCCGCTGAGACGTCTGTACCCTGTACCTGTTCCTGTGCTTGCGACCAGACCTGACGGCTGACGGGTCGGACGTCGGTATCATGAGATGCTTCGGAGCGATTGGTGACGTCTTTCCCCAGCTCAGTAGATGGATCATCAGACTTTCATTTGATCGTGTTTTCTTTCGAGACCAGTCGGATTCTTACTGCGAACCAGGTACACTGAAGGTCTAGGAAATATGTTCTAATAAATGACATAAGCACTACGGAATAAACAGCTTCGATTTCGGAAAGCCATCTTAAACGCTAATCCCATAGTGCTTATTCCATTTAAATGACTTTAATAGTAGAATGGATAGAGCTATGCCGGACGGAGACTTATAGCGGGTGATTGTACCCGGTGGATGTAAGTAAGCGACGCTGGCAGCCACTTGACTGCCTGCGTCCTATAGCCTGCAACCGTCCACTACCAGCTGCATATCTATGCATTCGGCGTCGTTATGGCGGTGTCTGGAATCCTGTGTACGACGAATGAGTGTTTCGCTTAGGTAGTTGGTAGTCAAGGGCTGCAGATTCCGGTTTCAGCCAGACAACGTACGAAGCGCGGGTGCGGGTGTGGGTATGGTGGGCGCTGACCAGAGGATCCTTCCAATCTAACCTCCTGCGCCACTATCCCATGCAATACGACGGCGTCCAACGTAGTATTGCGACATAATGGCGCCCAACAGCATACCCAGGTCGGTGTAGCAAAGTACCTGCTGTGCTACCACCCCTTCTAAATGGTGGCATGGATAAGTCGTTTTCTCCTCGTGCACGAAAATCCTCCAGTCTGTGACCGTTCCCCCTTATTCTAACAGAGTATTGTTGCACTTTTGCTCCAACTTGTCGGCATATCTACCTACGGGCGTCGAAGTGATTCAAGGACGGAGGTTATTGGTCCTTACTCCCGTAGGATATCAAACCCCATTCACGGAAAGAGTGTACTGACCAGCGGCATCAGGCCGTTCTGCCATTATGGAGGAGATTGATTGCGTGGTTGTGGGTGCTGGTAGGACGTTCTTCTCCTGTTTCCCATTCTCATTTGCCCCCCGTCGCAGCATGGATATGATCGTCGACCACGGGCAAACAATACTGCACACAGCTGACCCTGCGCGACAGGATGGTACGGGCTAGCTGCAGCCCAGCAGTTCCACTACACTCAGCCTGACAGTTCGCTGGTCATCCTGGATGCCCAGCCATCACTAGGTGGAACATGGGCAGAAGAACGACATTACCCTCTCTTGAAGAGCAATAATCTTCTTGGGACATACGAGTACCCTGGGTTTCCGATGAGCAGCCACAAATTCGACGTCAAACCCGGCCAGCATCTCAAAGCAGCAGCCATAAACTCCTACCTGAAGGCGTATGCAGAGCATAGCGAGATAGCGGATCTCATACGCTTCAATCACAAGGCGCTGTCTGCCGAACACCAGGACACGGACGCTGGAGGCTGGGTTTTGACTATTGCGGCTAAGGAGGGGGAGAAGACGATCTTTGCCCGCCGCCTGATCATCGCAACTGGACTGACTTCGAATGAATTCCTCCCGCACTTCGACGGACAAGAAGACTTCCGAGGTAGGGTCTTCCATGGGAAGCGATTTCGACAGAACAGCGATACCTTGAAAATGGCCAAGGCTGTTACGGTATTCGGCGCTACCAAGTCTTCGTGGGATGCCGTGTACGCATATGCTACTGCTGGTGTGAAGGTGAATTGGGTTGTTCGAGGTATAGTTCACTCTTGCTTTCGTATAAGCCTCATTTCGATTACAAGTGAGGCTTGCGAGACTGACTTGCGGTGATAGCCAGCGGTCACGGACCATGTTGGATCTCTAGCCCCTATGCGACACCTCTGAAGTTGCGCCTGGAGAAGCTCGCCAGTACGTATTACCCCTGAAGAATGAAATGATCAAGTTTGACCTCTAGATCTGATGCCTCGATTTCGGTCATTAGAGACATCGTCTTTTGAGGAGTCATAATTACTGATTTGGTATCACAGACACACGGCTAATGACCTGGTTCAGCCCATGCATCTGGGGTGAGGCCGATGGCTACAGCTGGATAAGGCGCTTTTTGCACGGCACGGCCACCGGGCGATTCATCGTAGACAAACTTTGGAAGACGGTTACTGGCGACATTATGTCGCAGAATGATTACGACGCACATCCAGACACAGCAAAACTCAAGCCATGGACAGAGATGATGTTCACAGGCGACAGCTACAGCATCCTGAACTACGACCAAGATATATTTTCGCTTATAAAAAGCAATCTGGTAAACGTTCATGTCGGAGAGATCGATCATCTCAGCACCCGCAGAGTCCACCTTGCAGACGGTACCGAATTTGAATCGGATGTTCTCATCGCCAACACTGGCTGGAAGCACGTACCGAGCATCGACTTCTTACCCAAAGGCATCGAGACGGAGCTCGGTATCCCACACCAGCCGACGGAGTCCGGGTCCGCACCGGCGCAAGACCTTGCAAACCAGCACGTCCTGGTCGAAGCCGCCGACGGAGAAATCCAGCAGCGGTTTCCCCGGCTGAGGCGCCAGCCGGTGTGGAATGCGCACTACAAGCCGATAACGGAGCAGAAAGGCATCAGCTCCGACACGGCCGACGAGGTGACTCCGTATACCCCGTTGACGCCGTATATGCTGCACCGCTTCATGGTGCCTGCGTCTGCGCGGTTCCTGCGTACGCGCGATATTGCGTTCGCGGGCATGATGTCGAATTTCAGCAATGCCATCACGGCGCATATCTGCGGGCTGGTGAATATAATCAGGAGTCAATCCTTACCTGGAGTTCTGACTGACTTCTCATTCCTGCAGTGGATCAGCGCCTTCTTCGCCGGGAAGCTGGCCATCGACGCCGAGATCGATACCGGCGCCTCGGCCTTGGAGCCGCCGACAGACGGCAACATAGGGGGGAGCCTCAGAAGGCTGCAGTACGAAACTATGTTGTTCAATCGCTGGGGCAAGTGGCGCTACCCGACGGACTGGGGCACCAAGCGGCCGAGCTTCACGTTTGACGCCGTGCCCTACTTCGATCTGCTGCAGAGGGACCTGGGGCTCAACCAATACCGCAAGGGCGGCTGGTTCGCCGAGATGACGCAGGCGTATGGGCCGACGGATTACGAGGACATCACCGATGAGTGGATGCGGAAGCAGAAGGATTGAGGATGGGGTTTTCTATCTAGTCCGCTCTTGTGGGTGTGGGGTGGGCTTGGTATGGCATTGTGATATTGGTTTCTTTTTCTTCTCGTTGGCTCAATAGTATTATTCTTAGCTACCGCGCTGGCAACTAAAGAGGCCAACAAGGATTGTTTAGCGCACAATGACTGCCACATATTATAATGGTTGGTTCATTACACAGTAATTGCTGATGATCATGTTGCCAGATAAAATCTCGATTTGTTTTCATAATGAATGTATGGCTGTCCCTTATCGAGGTTCACGATGGGCCATGGCGTCAACCATCGAACCTTGATGGCAGGAAAGCAGCCCACCAGCACGGTCTCTAATGAAGCCACTCCAGCGAAATCAAAAATTCTGATCAACGCCGTTAGAGAAAATTTACACAATCGTCGTGTGCTAAATAATCATTATGCGGCAAACAATGTACCTATCCCCGTTAATGTGCCTGAGTAACAATCGACATTGAATATGTAGAATCTGCCTAGCTGTTCCTCAGATCCAGTGAATGAGTAATCTGTGCAAGTGGAGCTCCATTGTACATGTATAGGCCATTGACGCATTTACCAGAGGATGCTCGGACCAGGTGCCCCTTCTGGACGGCAAGAGCTCCATTGTACATGTATAAACCATTAAGGGGCTCGGACCAGGTGCCCCCCCCTGAACGCAAGGGCTCCATTGTCCATGTATAAACCGTTAACTCATTGTTCAGAGGAGTGCACCTGGTTCGAGTATCCCCTAGTACTGATTCTCTGCTGATCTGAAAGCCTACAAATACGTGTGGTTCTTCCCCTAACCTGTCCGCCACTTTACCTTCATCTTTCATACACGCATTCTCTAGATACGCTTCTCTGATAACTTTCCTCTGCACTCGAGCTTCCATCGCAATCGAGCTTCCATCGCGCAATCTAACACTCAGTTTCGTTACTACACTGACCAAGGCAAGTATATCATGTTGTAGTACAGCAATTCCTCTTGTCGGTTCATCCCGACTTCATCAATGCTTCTGGCCCTCTTGCTTCTTCTCATACTCTCCTATCATCGATTACGCTAACTCTATTCTTTGTTACATAGATGTCTTCTGCCAATGACACACCGATGGCTCCTCTTGACGGAGTCGCTTCAGCCATGACGTCCCTTGCCTTGGCCAACCCTCCCACCCTAATGAGTCTCCCGATCGAGCTCCGATGCAAGATCTACGTGCAAGTCTTCGACAACGAGGGAAAGATTCACGCACTCAACCGCCGCCCTGACCATCGACCTAAGAGACACCAGAAGAGACGCCAGGGGAAGATGACCGTCCCGCCTCTCTTGCTCGCCTGTAAGCAGATTCATGCAGAAGGTACAGACATCTTCTGGCAGAAGCGACTGTTGTGGCTGAACAAAGCCACCTACAAATATCTGAGCGACAAGTTTCTTGCTTCGTCGATGACTCTATCTCTGCTCGTACCGAAGCTGAGCCAAACTGTTGCTGCGAATATCCGTCATATTCGCGGCCAGGATACCACTCAATGGGCAAAGATGAACAAGGGCCGGGCCAGATTCCTTCTTCGTCAGCTTCCCAACCTCAAGACATTCCGTTTCCACGGAAAATGCCATGCCTGGCCTTTCTGGAGCGGCAGCGAATACGACGAGGGTATCATGAAGTCGGCTCTCGAGTACTGTGGGGGCGATTTCGGCCCAGTCAACGACACCCAAGACATCATCAAAAGCTTCCCTCTCAACCCCAACACGTGCAAGATCGAGTTCCAGGTGGTCATCGTCTGGACAGCCATGGTCCTGGATGACTACGATGTAAGTTGCGCTCCCTGATTGGATCCAAACTTGCTCGAGAGTTTCCAATAAACGCCACAATTGTCAATCTTCAATTAGGTCTACGAGATACACATCAATCTGAACACCGGAAAGCACAAGATCGTGCCCGGTCGAGCGGATGACTTTGGCGAGTTCGAGCTCGGTCACTGGGTCGAGGAAGACGAGGTCTGGGAAGAGCTGCGTGCAGTCCAGTGATCGGTGAACTCCAAGTCATCAAGAAAATGGAGCCAGCCCTACCCCCGGCCAACAAGAGAACGACATCCCCTGGCTCGTTGCTACATAGATGAGCGGTGAGAGGCGGAAGGTCGATAGGCGATTGTCATGGTCTACTATCTAGCTAGGTGGACTATTTGTGTGTGGAATGGCTGTCACGTGGCCGGAAACTGGGAAACTGGGACGCCCGTCCACGCGCAAACGCCCCTCTTACATTAACGAAAAAAAAAAAAAAAAAAAAACCCCTTTAAAATACTAGGTGTTGGGTGTGGTGGCATGGTCTGTGCGTCAGGATGGGGGATGGTTGCCCCAACGCTCCGTCACTACGGTAGATAGACGCGCCGCACCTGGATTCAAGTACGAATCTGTCGACGCAAGGTAGACACAGAACAAGCAACCAGGCAAGCTGCATTCACCCGATATCACTGTTCCTGAATTCTCACATGGTAGCATCTGCGATATCGATCTGAGGGATACGGTAGGTGGCTGGCAGCTGAAGGTGACGGGCACGGCACCAGGCGCATCGCGCGTGCTGGATGACGTCGTCAGGCACATCCATCAGCAGCACGTACGAAGCACGAAGCACGAAGCACAAAGACGACGCTGACGACCTAGCAACCTGACGAGATTATCTATTCCTAGGCCCAGCCTATGTACGAGAGGTATTAACATGCCAGCTTAGAAGCTCACAACGCCGCCGCTAGGTATGTACGACGTCTGAGCTCTACCTATATGGACAGGACCATTTGTCATGCACTCCCTATATCTACCTTACAAACCCTTCTTGGGCGACCCAAACAGATCCGGGGAGATGTAGAACGTATTGGACTGTTTGCCCCCGGCGGCCTGCTTCAGACTGACCCAAGAATGAATGCTCGTGCCCGAGTTCAGCGGCCTGCGCTGCACCGCGCTGACCATCTTCCTGTAGCGCTGCTTGTACAGCGCCGGCACCGAGACCGCCGCCATGTACCGCTCGACGCGCGCCCGGATCTGCGCGTCGTCTTCGGCGTACGCGCTGATGGGGAAATGCACCGTTCCGACAGGCCGGCCAGCCGTCCCGCTCGTGAAGGCGAAGCAGGAGAGCAGCGGCTTCCGGTCGTAGGGCCCGAGACTGCCGCCGCCAATGGTCTCGCAGAAGCGCTGGATCTCGTAGGGGTCCGCGTGCGGGCAGACGGCCGCGTGCTTCTGTGCCACGTCCGACGCGCGCGTCGTCCCGTGCGAGATGTACACCTTGGCGCGGCTGTGGTGGTCCGTGTCGGACGACAGGTCAAGCGAGAAGTAGATGACCGACTCGCTGGCCGCCATGGTGCTCTCCACGACCGCCCACGACTCGGCCAGGCCGATGCGTTCCAGCGCTATGCGCGTTACCGCCATGGCTTCGTCGCGGCCGGGCCGGCAGCGCGGGTTGAGATAGATCTTCCACTTCGGGCCGTCTTCGCTTGAGGCGTAGCTACACCATGCGGCGAAGAACCCCTCGGGGTTTCCGGGCATGAACAGGTCCCGGATGGTGTTGAAACGGTCTGTGGAGACCCTTGCGCTGTATCGATCTGCTATTCGTTCGACCAGCGACGACGCCTCCGCTTGGAGCTGGGTCAGCATTCCCTGGCTCTCGTCCCCCAGCGGCTGAGCTTCTACCAGGAACCGCAGCTCTGGTTCCCCCGTCTTTTGGTCCAGCACGACTGAGTACTCAAAGGGCGAATGGTCGTTGCTGACATGAGAAACCCATGGCAACGAGTCAACGTCATGAGGAATGGGCGAATGGCCCCAGTCCCTCATTGAGACATCTAAGGCTTCCAGTAGCCGTTCGTCTTGAGTGCTGTCCAGTTCCAGTGCTCGAGATAGGAGAATCATCTGCCGCTTAGCCTCACTCAGATATGTCCCTTTCACGGTCTGGTCCACAGGAACGGGTTTCATGCCAGCCGAGAAGTGCCGGAGTCTCATGTCTTTGCCCCTGGTAATCTTGACATTAGGTATGGAATGTCTCCGACTGTGCAGCTCCTTGATGGCTCCAACTGTGTAGCTGATATGCGTGTCGGAAAGCACATGACGTGGCACGGCGAATCGAACCAGGTTCGGTATGAGGGCCTGCTGTTCAGGGGGCTTCTTGTCCCATTCCCACCCGAACGGTCCGGCTTCGGCCGCGCGGATGCCGTAGTCTTTGAGGAGCTCCAGGGTGAAGCCCACGGCCGCGAAGTCGCCCGGGTGCCTATCGCAGCCGTGGAAGAAGTCATCCATGTCGAGGTAGACCGCGTGGCCGCCGGGAGGGGAGAGGACAGAGACACCGCTGGCCTGAAGCTTCTGGGCGAAGGACCGTACTTGGCCGATGCGGTTTCGAAGGTAAGGCTCTTTTGTAACTTCGCATAATCCGATCACGGAAGCCATCATATCCCGGCCGCTCACTAGATTGCAGAGGTTAGCTTTCGAGACGTTCCTGGAACTAATTAACTCATTTCTCATTTGCAGGGCAACTCACTTCCTCCGTAAGAATCATTGCCATAGAACAAGATCTGACGCTCCTTCAGGCGAAGCCCGATTCCTTCGTACCGCTGAGCAAATAAGCCCTGGTCCCTGAAACTCAAGATACCGCCCATGTTCGAAAGACCGTCCTTCTTCAGACTGATGGTGAACCCATCAGCGTAGGAGAACATCTCCTGGACGATATCAGGGATCGTCCTGTCTGCATATCCAGCCTCAAACTCGCGAATGAACCAAGCGTTCTCCGCAAAACGGCAGGCATCGAAGAACAGGGGTATCGATTTTCGCCTTGCCAACTCGGCTGCTGCGCGGATATTGCCCATTGATACCGGCTGTGCGGCGGCCCAGTTGTTCGTGATCGTCATCAATATCATGCAGGCTTTTGCCGGGTGCTCATCCAGCCAGGCCTCGGTTGCCACAACGTCCAAGTTTCCCTTGAATGAGTTCTGTTTGCCGACGCGCTCCTCGGGGAACGCATCAGTCAGGCCAGGCTGGGTGAAGGTCTCGAGAGCAAACCCGGCCGCTGCGGCATTGGCCCCCGTCGTGTCAAAGAAGCCATTGCTGATTATCACTCTTGGTCCGCCGTGGCGCTCCTCCTTCTGCGCCGTCTGCTCCGCGATCACGTCTCTGAGCGTGGAGAAGAGCAGAAACTCGGCGCAGCGCCCCTGCGGCACAATGAAGAAGTTGGGCCTCTCGAGCTGGTGCGGCCCGCCATTGACGAAGCCGCCTTCGTGGGGCTTGAGCAGCTTGCTTCGGTAGAAGTCGCCGTCGGCTGTTCCCACCACGACGCTGTGCGCTGCGTACTGGCGGTCGTTGCCGCGCTCGAAGACGTCTCGGCATGTCTCTAGCAGGCAGTAGTATCCCCAGTTGCGCCCATAGCTCTCGTCACCCCTGATTACTATGCTCCCCAGTCAGCGGCATGTGCTTGCTTGGTCACTGGTGTGCGTTGATGTCTTTTTTGACATCCACCCTGGGGGACTCGTAATAAGTAAATTGGGTAGAACTTTACATGCTGACCATTGCAGGTCGGTCATCGCCGAGGTGCCTGAATCTGACAGGTAATCACAGGTAACCAGCGCTGCCGGAAAAGCGAATATGTTGTACTCGACATCTTGCAGTATCTTCTCGCGCTCCTCCGCCGTTGTACTTAGGAGAGATCTGACTACAAGTGCCTGATGAGTTGGTGGGTCAAGGAGAGGATCCGATGAGGACGACGAGTATGACATTGTTGATTGTTCAACGTCAGTTGTGGCAGTGTTTGAACGACGGAGTGAAGGAGGCTGGTATTTGCATATGCTTGACGATATTCAGGTCAACCAAAGAACAACGACACTACGTATCACTGAACGAGGACTGGACTGGTCGACTGATAGAACGGTTCAGACAGTCCGGCTCTCTCGGCATGGGATGCGAGCTTTACGGCTTATCATGCAGGCTTCACACAACGCAACGACACTCATCCGCTTGTTGGTGATGATCCAAACTGGGCGAGGACGCCATGGCCTTGGATGCCCCAGCCAACATGAAAGGATATGCATGTTGGTCACGAAATCATGTTGTTAGGGTATGTGCCGCAACAGAGGGTCGTATGCAGTGGTACAGCTATCTAAGGCGGGTGGAGGGTGAGGTTCTGATCGACTCGATTGGCCTCTGAACGATGTCATTTAGTTATTGACTGGACTCCGCATTGGAGCCATGTCCTTGGGTGGCCAAGTGATCCAGCCCTTCGGTAGTCGTAGAAGGCTTACGTCGACTCAACCGAGTAACCAAGTGCCAGGGCGGGCATCAGGTCTGGGCAACATAGGTAGCCTGCAGTCAGCTCCCTGGCTCTGAAGGGAGGGAGGCGGTGAGGGCGCTCAGCGAGGATATCGCTGTTGGAGCGATGCGAGGGGAACCGGCAGTCAGCATTTTCGAGGGCTCGCTCGGAAGTCCTACGTACCCCCATGCACACTTGTCGATAGATGGCGCAAGGGGGCACGCAACGCGACGCAGCTCAGGGATTTGGATGTTGTTGGTGGAAATGTTAACTCCAGAGGTTTCTCCTACCCACCGCCGTTACTACATTGGGCCCGTTCCAGACGTACTGTAGCTGCCGAGGTTCTGGGGTTGCGAGCCTGTGCCACATAATCATATCACGTCGGGCATGATGTGGCAGTTGTGTGGTAGCATCGAAGGATCAGCCTCTGCGTAGGACTTTCCAAGGGGGATGACAAATACCCTAGTCGCTAGGATCTAAACTTAGACAGGCGGGTCGGGGCTTGTTCCACAATGCATGGTACTTCCGGACATGCAGTATAGTATTACCCTTGAAATAATGTTAAAGGACGTCCGAGCTAATACATAACAAGCACCTTAAACGTTTCATCCAGGTATTAGCTAGGTATTAATATTGTTATACATTTTCTTACGATAGTAAATACTTCCTCTTTAAATAGCTAAAGGGTATTTTTATTTACTTTTTATATTAAAAATAGTGTATAAATATTTTAGTTTTAGTTTTATTAGAAGTTTTATTCAATTATATAAAATCGAAAAATAATATCGATATTTTATAAAAACTTATTAAGCTTTTACACTTTGTTATTATTTTTTGCTTACGCTAGCTTTTTCTTTTTCAATTCACACTTTTTTTTACTACTTTTTATAATTGTTTGAACGCTTTTTTAGCTACGTACGTAGCAAATTTCTTATATTTGTAACGAACGAGGCTATTTTTTTTAAAATATAGTAAGCTTAAAAGTTGCGATCTTTTAAGCTTTTTAAAATGTTACTTTAACGATTTAAAGTACGAAGCTTAGGTTTAAAATTAATTGCTAGTAAAACATAACGAGGATAATAGTAGCGATTATTTTATTTTTTAAAAGCTAGCTTTAATTGTTTTTTTTCGTTGTAAATTTTTTTAATTTATTTTTAAAAAAAACTTTAATACTAATCGCGATAATATGATGCTGTTTAAATTAACCTGTTGCCTTTTTAGTTTCTTATTAAGTAAAGTGCTAGCGATTTTTTCTCGTGACCGTATCTCTTTTAAAGCGCTAGCGCTTTTATTCATTAAAGTTTTTTTTCCTAATATCATAATTAACTTTATAATTAAGCTGCATTTTAAGATTATTAACCTAATAAACTCTAAGCTTTTAACCGTGCTTTTATGCGACTTTTAATCTGTTTTTTAAGTTAATACGTAACTAGTAAACCTTTAAATTTATGATAGATTTTCTTTTTTTTCCCGTAATAATTTCTTAATAAGGCTTTGTAATTTTTAAACGTTAGGTTAAGCAACTATATTTATAACTATTAAATAAAAAAGGCTTATAATCAAAACTTTATACATAGTAACGAAATAAATGATACAAAAATCTGCGAAAAAATAAAGCTTACTTTTAAGCAGGTATAATACGTTATTATTGTGAAAGTTAAGCCCGGTTTTTACGGAGGAAGTTACTATAACACTATTATTTACATATCAATAAAACGTGCTATAAAGGCTTATTTTTTTATAAGGACACTTTTAACGCGCTTTATACCTTAATATATATCGTATTTAAGAATAACAATTTTAAAGCTAATTTCTTACAAGCGCTACCTAAATAAGCATGTTTCTAAATTTAAAGGTTATTTAAAAAAAGTCGTTATATATGCCCTTTTTAAAATAAACTTTACGAAAGCTTTTTGATTAACTCGTATTACTTTTATACCCGTATATAAAAAAGCCCGTTTTGAACTTGCTTTTTTTAAGGTTATTTTATTTTTAATAAGTAAGAAGATTAGCTTTAAATTAATAAGACTTGAATTAACGGCATAATTATGATCAAAAAAGTAGTTATTCTGTTTTGAGGTAAATTTGTTAGCTTATTTACTAAGACAAGATATAAAAGAACGGCTGAATGGTTTAAGGCTTTTTTACGGCGGTATTAAAAGCTTAAGGTAAAATTAATTCGCTATTAAATTAAGATTATATTTTACTTTTAATACTAAAGTATTATATGTTTTATTTAAAGCTTGAAGTATGATAAAAGAACGCTTTAAATTATAGCTTAAAAGCGATTTAAGCGTAAATATAAAAACAATGTAACGACGGCGTAATAGTGAAATAGCTTATTAAAAGCTTTAAATAAAGCGGTAAATCGAAATATAATACTTTTACGTAGTTAGTAACGGCTTAATCATAGCTATTTAAAAAGCTTAAAAAGCAATGCTAATAAAGTTACTTAAGTAATTAGCTCGATTAATATTATAGCGATTAAGGCTAATTAAGTTAGAAAATACAGATTTTACAAAGTATTAAAACTATATATAATAGTTTACTTTTGTTAAAGTTAAAATTCGACAAAATAAACTGTTAAATCTTTTTTTCATAATAATATCTTATATAAATTTATTCGAACGTAGTTATGCGAAAAATAGCTACTTTTACTAAAGTAAAAGCTTATTTCTAACCTTTTAAAGGTGTATTATAGCAGTGTAATTATTAAGTAATGCCTTTAACACTCTTTGTATTATAAGCGACTAACCCTTTGTAAATTAGCTATCGAGACCTTTAAAATGTGTTGTTATCAGTGTGGTAGTTAGGTATCTTAATAGTCTGCAGGGTACATTATTTCAGGGGGTATAATGTATAGTACTATATCAGTCATGCAGAGTACTTCCTAATGTTATCAAGAATTGAGGGGATGAAGTGGCGGCATCTCCCGCACCTCTCCCTTCATGCAGTACCTAGTTCTCGGGGAAATGAGCGAGCGCATGGCTCTATCAAAAGCCTCAGTGGCCGTAGTAACATCACAATCAAGAATACAACAGCACTCATTCTGCCCACCAAATCTTCCTTATAGTGATAGTGTCATGCTTCTAAGTGTGCTTTCTGTGAGCAGGGGGATATGTGATGCTGGCATCTTGTCATTCCAGTAACTACGAGCTATTGAATGACGAAGGAAACTTGAGAAACGGCTGGACGAAACCAGTCCCCCCACCAGGTCATCGGCCTGTTCTGAATGTCCTGAATCAAGAATGTGCAAGAATCATACTGGCGAGCTGCTCGGCCATGGCGTAGAGCGAAGCCTGGGGGTGACCACCCAGGGGGACTGGCACGATGCTCGCATCGGCAACCCTCAGCCCCGTGACGCCAAGTACCTTGCCTTCCCCATCGACCACCTTGCCCATGGCCGCAGTACCGCCCGAGTGCTGGTGCTGCTCCCCGGTGCGTTGGAGCCTGTCCAAGATCACATCGTCACTCGTATCGACAGTCAGCGGCGCCAGCCCCTCCAGGCCTTCCTTGACAGGCGGCGCTTCGCTCTCGACAACGGTTTTCAGGTTTTCAGTTGCCGTCAGAAGCTTCAGGGCTGTGCGAGTACCGTCAACCATAGCTTCGCGGTCATGCTGGGTCGAGAGGTAGTTGGGCTGGATGCGCGGGAGATCCGCCGGTGAGCTGGACCGGAGCTTAACCGTACCCCGGGACGTCGGCAGGAGCAGCATTGTCGACGTGGAGATATGAGTGCCATCGACGGGGATGCCCGGGATGCCCGGCACTACATACGCAGTCATGACTTCGTAGACGTTTCGGTTCTCCCAGCCAGTTTTGGTCTCGTTCTTGTGCTTGGTGAGAATGTCGTCTGGGAGGGGACGGTTGGCAATCCAGTCCCATGGGAGACCCTTGAAGAAGGCAGGGTCTTGGAAACCCGCGCCGCCGAAGGCGTACCCGAGTGAAGGGTCGCATAGACGATAGGCGAGGTGGAGGGCGTAATGGTCGTGTAGGTTTTGACCGACGTAGGGGGATTCGTGGATGAGATGGATACCGTGCTCAGCAAGTTCGGCTGATGGGCCGACACCTGAGAGCATGAGGATCTTGGGAGTCTGGTACGCCCCGGCCGAGAGGATGACCTCCTTTCGGGCGGTAACCTTGCGGCCGTCGACTAGCTCAATCCCCGTTGCTCTGTTGGTACCATCAAAGATTACTCTATGCACGAAGGCATCGGTAAGAACAGTGGCCTTATTGAGCGGATAGACCACGTTGGCCGCTTGCCGCTTGCCCTCGCTGTCGCAGTTCTCATGAATCTCATTCACGCCCACGCTGGCACCGTTCTTCCGGTCCACGTTGTGGGAGACACCAAGCTCGGCCCATGCCTTCAAGACGGTGTCTCGAAGGGGGTACTTGCGTTGTCCGCCCTCGGCGCCAGCGATCGAAGTGACATACATGGGTCCGTCGAAGCCATGTTCCTGCGGGTCTGCATTGGAGTCATAGAACTTCTCCGACTTGACGAACCAGGGCTTGAGGCCTTGGTAGCTCCAGCGGTCGTCGCCGGCCAGCTCGGCCCACTCGTCGTAGTCGGCAGCGTCTCCTCGAAGCCAGCCTCCAAAGTTGATCAGGGTACCTCCACCCAGGGCTTTTCCAGCGCTGAGGGGGTGCACGCGACCGGCTGTACTCGGGACAGGCTCACTTGGGTAGGCGTAGTCGAGCTCACCACCCTGAAGCGGGAGACTCGTCAGAAAGAAGGCAGTCGCAGGGTTGCTGGTTGCGTCGGGCCCTGCCTCGAGCAGGATGACGCTCTTGCCGTTCTGGCTGAGACGCGACGCCACAACGCATCCCGTAAGGCCACCGCCCACGACAACGTAATCGGCAATCTGCTCGTCCATGGCTGAGAGGTGGTTGGCAAGAACTTAGAAGGAACTAGAGGATGTGAGAGATTGTTGGCCGTAATGAGATGTCAGGTGTCAGGTGTCAGGTGTCAGGTGCAGAATTGAAGAAGCAAGGGATGAAAATGAGTATGAGCGGCCATGTTGGTGACTGCCCGCCAGGTCCGTATTTCACTTGGAACCAATGTTACACAGTATAGCTCACAAGTTGATTGAGCTTTGTCGCAAGGCTGAAGTCGCACGACTCATCGGATTCTTTTGTCCACTTCACTCGTGCAGATACGACCTGAATCATACGTTCGGATGCTGTGGTTGGCAACGTGCAGCAGCACCCAAACGCAATGTATTCACCCTTACTAATCAACCAGCAACACCCGTACCTTACTCGGTTACATACATGTACCTACCTAAATACCTACCTTCTAAGTACGTAAGCCACGTAAGCTTCATTCACTCGCAAACTTGCGTTACCACCTCACGAGGGTCAGAGAATGCACCTCATCGACCATCCGCCATCCGCCATCCGCCATCCGCCATCCTTGTCCTCGATACCAGGCAGTTGCAATCACCGACAGCTCAAACTGCCGGAGGGATTCAATACTTACCTAGGTATGTAGCCGTTGATCCTGCCATATGCGGCGTGTCGCATCAATGCAACGCAACGCAAAGCAGGATTCATCACTCAGCGCAGCTATTGATTAAAGTAAACAGACCGAACCGCCAGATGCCGCTGACTTGATGCGGAATACATGGCCGATGAGGCGTCTACAGCAGCAAATCAAATGGACTGATCCGTCTGACATCAGATCCTCCCACGCACCCTCCCAAGACCGCCTCCAACTTTCGCTCGCCGTAGGGTGACTAGGGTCTCACCCACTGCGACGTCGGTCAAAGCATGAACTTTTCCAAGTTCCAACTATGGTCGTGTCCACTATCCAGCCCTGCTATGGTATGCCAGCGTCTCCTTCGTCTTCGAAAGGTGCATTCCGCATTCACTGCCCTCGGCCCCTCCTCGATCTCGTGCATGAATCTTGCTGCCACACCTATTAATAACGCTCGTTTTCTCTCTCTCGATTGGCTCGTTTGCCAATGAATGATAGACCAGACGCGGGCAGCCGGCGTAGGGTGGGCGTCAAACGACCGACGTGCCTCATCCTGCCTCATATGCCGGAAAGAAGAAGGGTCAGCGGCGAGGCGTCGAGGTCACAGGTGTGTAGCCTCTAAGTTACATCCTTCCTTCCCCTCTTATTACCTTCTGCTCCGTTCCTCTTCTCTATGGCGGCCAACACCAGCACCGACACCCCCCGGCCACCCCTCGGGGACAGGGCCAGGACCCGATCCAGACCTGCATGGTCAGCCAGCGGTGTTGTCCACTGCTCGCTCAACGAGTTTACACCATAAGACTGAATCAGTTCTGTAGACTGGGATGGAATCGTAGGCCGTAGAACTTCTTCTCCTCTTCATGACTTCACATACAGCGCCACCCTGCAGCCTGTTCCTACTCCTTCCTGCCCATAACCACCGCCTGGTGGTGCTATTAGGCAGACCACCAAGACCAAGATGCTTGGACCATATAGTAAAGAGTTGATGATAGGCCTGGCTGTAGGCGCCATCGTCCTCCCCACTGTCTTTTTTGCACTTAGACTATGGGCAAGGCGCCTGAGACGCACGCGTCTATCGGTAGATGATTGGTTGTGCTTCGGCGGACTGCTCGTTGGATACACCTGCTGCTCTCTGCAGCTCTATGGTGAGTTATCATCTCCTGAATCAAGTACTATACCTGCGAGGCCACGGCTAAGAGTTACCTACGTAGCTGCCGTCGACGGCGAACTAGGCCAGCATCAGGCGTTGGGACCTAATGGCCTACCTATCCTCGACGACCCGAAGTTCCTGGTCTACGAAAGGGTGAGTAACCGGTGCAGACTCGATTGACTCAGCTATCTTGAACCTGACCTGACCATCGATTCTCCAAGACCAAACTTGCCGTGAATGTCCTGAGTCCCATCGGTTTCGGGCTCGTGAAAGTGTCGATTGTTCTACTATACGAGCGAATATTCCACAACAGTCGCCCTTTCCGATACGCAGCGTTTGCCATGACCGGCCTCCTTGCCGCGTGGGCTCTCTCCTTCTCCTTCGCCAATCTGTTCATCTGCTTTCCCGTCACGGCTCTTATCGAGCCGTTCTACGGCAAGAAATGCGTGGATAGAGCGGCCGTCTTTCTCTCGACGCTCGTCACTGATCTGATCTTCGACGTTCTCATTCTGGCCATGCCTATCCCCCTCGTCTTGCGGCTACATCTGCCACGGAAGGATAGGCTCGGAGTGCTTGGGATGTTCCTACTTGGTGCAACGCAAGTGGCCGCCTCCCACCATCCGAGAGAACGCCAGGCGCTAACAGACGTATCCAGGGTTGTCGCCGTTAGTATCGCTCGCCTTGTCCAGCTACTGGAGGTCAACTCACAATACCTCTTCTTCTACTACGATGAAACCTGTAGGTCATGTTCACGGGATGGTGCAAGTGGACGACGAGAACTAATCAATATCCGTAGACTACACCTCGCCAGCCTTCTTCTGGGCCAACATCGAACTGGCCATTGCGGTGGTGTCGGCCTGTCTCCCAACGCTGAAACCCGTGTTGAACTTCCTCCTACCATCACCTCCCAAGACGCAACAGAAGCCGACCGACTATATCAATATATCCGATCCACAACCTTCTTCACGTTCGCGCGGGTGGGATAGTTACTCCATTGAAGCAGACAAGAATCTAATACCGCTGGCTACATTGGAGGAAGGAAGACGGGCTGAACCAGCCGGCCCCTAGCATACTCGGAGACTACGGGAGTTTTCAAGTTGGGTTGTCCTAGTCTTTCGGTTTGAAGTCTGTAACTATTAGATGTATATATGCTATGTGAGTAACAGTTTCCAATGAACCCAAGCCAAGAGCAAGAGTCAAGGAGACGAAGGTGCGGACTCGGCCGGGGCTTGATGATTCTCAGAGTGCATGTGGACTTCCATGTTGGTAATCCGGGCTGCCGGGCATCCGGGCATAATCATGACCTTTATTTTGACAGCATGACAAATGCCTTTGAACCTCGCAACAGGCCATCATCAAAATCCCTGTAGAATCCTACGGAACCGCCTGGGCGCTGATCCGATCGAAGGGTCAGTCAGCGTCAGCAAGACATCCTTTTCGGAAGGTAACAGTAGAACGTTATGAACAGGCTGTTGGCGCATTGGAGATTGACTTGCTGTAGCTGGTCTCCCCCCCCCCCTAAACCCTTGCACCAACACCAACACCAACTTCAGGCCAAGCCTCGCCACGACTCGGGGAACCTTTGCGACTCCATACTAATCTAATAAATGGGCATGTTCGTAAGGTCCAGTGACCAATTGGATTATGCGCTGCGGGAAGCCACGCATTCGCCACGTGTGTTGGTCTGGGTAGTAGGTATGTATGGAAGGGTAGCACCACATGGAAGGGACATATTGGCAATAGCCCCTCAGTTAACATTATGTGGTGGCGAGGTGCAGGCGACGGGATCCTCCACCATGCCTGTCGCATCCAGACCTGCATTCAGACCTGGAGCTGATGGTCAGTTAATTGCCAACTTGCCATCATCACGCGTGGTCGCGGTGATGAGCGGACTCAGCGGAGGAGCTGCCACTTTCCGCCTGCACCGACAGGGGGGAAGCCCTCGTCTAAGGTCTGCGAGGGTCTTCCACACGGAGGAACGATGACAATCTACTTACCCACGTGCCACGGCTGGGCATAAATACGTCCCTAGGACCTGTGGAAGGAGCCAGAGTAGCAGCCCGAGGGTTACGCTGCTCTCTCTGTCGTACCAATGAAGCACGCAAGCCAATTGGTCCCGTGGGCTTTCGCCTGCGCCCTCGCCGTCGTCAACTGCAGCTCACTGCTTCAGCGCCTGCAGTCTGAATTATCACCGCGGCTGTCGGGAAGCGGTCTCCTCTCTGAGACGGCGCCGGCACGATGGAGCGAGTTTGACGCGCCGAACCCGGGCGTCGTGGTCAACGTCGCGACCGAATCGGACGTTGCGGCTACGGTATGCACTCACTGACTGTTCCTGCTTCTCGTCCTGTCCCTACTCCCTAGGGAGCACACGGCCTCGGGCTTCGTCCTCATGAGGAAGAAGCGGCATTGACACAGTTCCCACAAACGTCCAGGTCAGATACTGCACAGCACATGACATCCCATTCCTCGCCCACAACGGCGGCAACGGATGGGCGACGACCTTCCACCTCGACAAGGACGGCGTGATGATAAACCTGGCCGCGCTGAACCACGTCACGTTCAACGCCGACAAGAGCCAGGCCACCATCGGCGGCGGGTCCAACATCAGCAACGCCATCGACCACGCCTACGCCGCCGGCACCCTGGTGCAGACGGGCAACTGCAACTGCGTCGGCGTGCTCGGCGCCATCCTCGGCGGCGGCTACGGCAACCTGATGGGCACGTACGGCTTCGGCGTCGACAACGTCCTCTCCCTCCGCGTCGTCACCGCCGACGGCCGGCTCCGCGACGTCACCGCCGCCTCTGACCCAGATCTCTTCTGGGGCCTGCGAGGCGCGGGACCCAACTTCGGAATCGTCACTGCCGCCACTGTCAAGTCGTATCCTGCCGCAGCGGCTGAGGACATGCAGGCCTGGACGGGCAACCTGGTCTACACCTCGGACCAGCTGGAAGACGTCGTCCAGGCGATCCAGGACCTCGTCCTGACACCGGACATGGTGATATTCCTCTACTTCCTCGCCGACGCCACCACCGGCGTCCCTGCCGTGATCGCGGCCCCATTCCTGTACAAGGGCGACGCGGCAGCGGGCCGAGCCGCGTTCGCCGGCCTCTACGCCGTCGGCCCCGTCGCCGACACCACGGCCATCGTGCCGTACGACCAGTGGAACGTCGCCTCGGACGCGCTGTGCACGCGCGGGTCCTTCAAGCCCGGATGGGCCGCCGGGTTCCAGGACATGGTGCCGGCGACGTGGCGCGCCGTGTGGGACGCCTACGTGGCCTTCCAGCGCCTGCCCGGGGCCGCGAGCAGCGGCGTCCTGCTCGAGGCGTACGACCTGACCAAGGCGCGGTCGGTGCCCGCCGGCTCGGCCGCGTTCCCCAACCGCAATGTCAGGTTCAACGCCTTTGCCATCCCTTGGTACAACGACTCGTCGCTGGACGCGCGGGCCGCGGCGTTTGGGGGCGCGGCGCGCGATCTGCTGAGGGCCACGAGTGGCTTGCCTCGCAACCAGACGTACGTCCCCAACCCGCCTCTCAAACTTTGTCTACCCCTTGTGTTTTTCTCGGCCTTGGCTCGGTCGTTTGTTTCAGGTTACTGACTGAAGTCCGTTCTAGGTATGTCAACTTCGCCCATGGGGACGAGCCGCTTACCGAGGTATACGGCGATGGCGTGCCTAGACTGCAGGCGATCAAGGAGCGATACGATCCGGGGAATGTGTTCGACGAATGGTTTGATATACGTCCAGGTGGTACATCTAATACATCCAAGGCTTCGTATTACTACTAGGCTGTGGAATATAGAGTCATAGACCACTTAGAAAGAGAATGTATGCTGGTGGTTTTAATGATTGCTGTCATCATTACACGGCGAAGGGAGCGCTGCCTACGTACCTACGTACCTAGTAGTTATATAGGCAAAACCTGTATACTCGTTTTATGCAGGCCAAGGTACATTCCCTGTTCGCTTGAAACAAGTACAGCACTGAGCGTGAATAAGTACCAAGTGTTTTCGGGACGCATTGTCCCTTAGAGGCCAGATTCCAGGATCCCCTGACTGTATCTGCGCTATCAAGTAAGGGTAGGTCAGGTAGGAATAGTGAAGGACGAGTGTGATTGTCGACCAAGTACCTCAGTGTCCGTAGACACGGAGCGAGGTCACTGGACGGGGCTCGACATCAACTGGATCAACCTAATGTTGTCTGTCGCCCTGGGCCTTGCGGCTTCATCAAGCTCTCGCCACTGCTCTTCTACCGGTGCGAACTCGCAACCTTGTCCAGGCCCGCGGAATCCCAAAAAAGAGCAAGAGCCCTGCTGGCCACCTATACGGCCGACTCCTCGTAATGCGCGGGGGCGGACGCTGGTGTAGTAGATATTGCGGCGTGGTAAAGATGCCCAAGTACGTACGGGAAGAGGCGTGATGGTGGTGATAAAAAATGGCCCGAACGACCCCAGGGGCCAAGGCCCGGCGTCGGAATACGCTTTGAGGGCAGTGTGGTGTTTGTTTGTTTGTTTGTTTTGTATTTAACGTGGGGGGTAGCTCCTCAGTAGTGCAGACCACGCCTCCCAGAGCCTCTGCATCGCAGGGTTGTGGAGGTCTCAAGAAAATAAGTACAGTCAGTCCCGCTCACGGGCCCATCCCCGTTGTTGCGGCGGTATGACCTTGGGGTCATCCATCTGGTCCTTCAAGAACAGCTATCTATCAGAGACAGATTGTTGAAAAGAACTTGCTCTTCTCCATGAATTTTGCTCATTTTGTGCTCCTCTCCCCTAAGTATTATAAACAGGCTGTCCTAGGCAAGTACCTAGGCAATAACCAATTTTTTCTTAGCCTCTTACAAAAGAAAATATGTTGTGGTGTTTTTTTTCCACCACAGCTGTAGTGGTTGTTTGAGTCTGTATACCCAAAGCGTTTGTGGTATCTGGCAAAGTTGCCATATCCAGATCTGGCCGCTAGAAGTCTGTATAGAGTGCTCCTCTTAAAGGATATAAGGCCTCTTTTAATTACTGCATGTGAGTATACTTCTTGATACCTAGGTTCTGATTAGTTTTTCTATCATTAGTTGAACTCTTTCTTGCCCTTTCTTTTGAGATCTCTCTTGACCCAAGAGATTATAAGAAGGTTTATTGTGTCTGTTTCTAGTATAGCACTCTCTTTTGTTAATATATCGGCAGCTTTATTACTATCAATATCTCTGTGTCCAGGAATCCACTTGACGGTCACTCCAGGAGTGTGTGCCGTGGCAAGTTCTTGAAATCATAGAAAAATGTTCTGTGATGTCTCGGGTGGAGTCCTATTGAGCCCATCTACCACTGATGTGTTGTCCAGGCAGACATTAGCTGTTTTCCGTGTCCAATTGCTCTGGCTGCTGCAAGACCTTGGAGAGCACCATGGACTTCAGCATCCACTACTTCTGCTTGTAGAAGTCTGCCCCTTCCCTGGTATACTTCTTGTGTAGTGCCGCCTTTCCTGATGGTATAGCCCCATCCAGTGCGGGTTGTGCCTTGGTCGTCTAATTGTGATCCATCTGAGTAGATGACAAGGTCAGTATTCGCATTTCTTTCCTGTAGCCATTGCTTAAAGAGCTCTATTTCTTTGTCTTTGTCTTTACGGACTGGTGGCTTCTTTCATAATGGCTTGGCGAGTATTGGTCTCTGGAAGTCAGGGACTAGTTAGAAGCTCCTTTGTAACCTTGTTGGTTCTTTGTGAACTTGTATTTGGAGCCTGCCAACAAGAGGGTGTCTCTGGTCTACTCGTCCGAGTCGGAGGCCGTGACGTCTTCTTATTGACTCTGCAAGAATTCCTGCTGGAGGAATCTGTGATTCAAAGTGTAGGATATGTCCAGGGTGTGTTTTCTAGACTGGTAAGATAACTCTGATTGCCGTTCGTAGTACAGCATCTATCGTTCTAAGAAGCCCTTTAATGCGACATGCTGATGTCCCAGCTAAGCTCTCAATTTTTTCTATTCCTGGGTACCAGGCCTTCAGGCCATGTGTAAGAATAGGAATAACACAAGTTTTCACAGCCCTTTTGGTTGACTTTATTAGAAGTCCTTTGACTGTGTTGCATAGTCCTTGAAGGTGGTTTGTTACCCTACTAGCTTTCTTGGCCCAGTAGGAAACGTGATCTTTGAAGTTCAGTTTTTTATCCAGGAAGACACCCAGCCATCGCATGGAGTTCTTTACTGTTCTGTTTATTATCTTGTGGCGGACCGGAGGATTGTCTGAGTTCTTTTTCTGTGAGAAGTGCATGATCTCAGTTTTGTTGGGATCAAATTCAATAGCATTATCATGTCCCTATTAGTTGAGCAGATAAAGATTTTCAGAAGCCTCTTTGGCTGTTTCTTTAAGGTCCTTTCCAATACAGAGAGTCGCTAGGTCGTCTGTATATCTAAAGCGTCTCCTTTTCATACCGAGTCGGGCACAGATCGGCTCTGTATACAGCATATAAAGGATTGGAGAAGTTGGTGAGCCTTGTGGTAGCCCACAAGTGAGAGCTTTTATGTCGGTCACAATACCTTCAAACCGAACTCTTGCGGACCGTTCAGACATGAATGACTGGACCCATCTTATAAGAAAGTCTGGCCAGCCCTGTTCTCTCATGCGAATCACCAGCCGTCCCATTAGAGCAGCGTCAAAGGCCCCTGTTACATCTTCTGTGACTACCGTTGCAACAAGGCCTTGGTCAAGGGCCTGCTCAATATCGTGTATGAGTGCAGCTATCAAGTCAGCGGCAGAGCGCTTTGGCAGAGCTCCAAAATGTTATGGAGCTAGAATTCCGAGTTTGATAATAAACCAGATAATTCTTTTTGTAATGAGTCGTTCTAGGCCTTTATCAAGACATGATAATAGCGATATTGGTCTGTAGGCCCTGGGGTTAGAGTAGTCTTTCTTGCCTGGCTTTGGGATCATCACCACCTCAGCTACTTTGAATGGTTTAGGGTGGTGTCCAATCTATAGACAGGTCTGGAAAAGGGCTCTGATATGCTCCCCAATGACTGGCCAGCAAGCTTTCAGAATCCGTATTGTGAGGGTGTCTATTCCTGGGGAGTTGCTTTTGGTCCCTATAGTGCACCCTTCAGCCTCTTCTAGTCCGACATGGTATTCAAGGGGGATGTGTGGCTTGGGTTGTGTGATCTGAGCGGACCAGGGGTCGATGATATCGTTGTCTGAGGTACTTCGTTTAAGCATGGTTGAGCGTAATGCATTTGTTTTGTTCTTTTATGACTCAAATATTTGGTCCCCTATGATGATTGGGGGGGAACGCAATCCTGCTGACAGCTTGTGCCAGGAAACAATTCTGTACAGGTCTTTTGGTTCAGTCGCTGAATCAATTAGAGTCTGCCAGTACTCTCTCTTAGCTTTTCGGACCACACAGCGAAATTCCTGTCGGGCTGAATTTTGCCCTTCTTGGCTTGTGGTCTGTTTAGAAAGGGCCCTGTATGTCTGGACAGCTGCTTTGCAGTCATCATTCCACCAAGCAGTGGGCCTAGATTGACGGGGCTTCTTGCCCACTATCCTGATACAGCCTTGGATCATATTGATCAAGCTTTGTGTAAAGGTATCCACCTGGCCAGGAGATACACCCAACCGGGGGAGTTCATGAATCCTGGTTTGGACATTGTCTGCCAGCTCTTATAGTTTATTGTCCGGTACTATCCAATGATTGGCCTTGGGAATTCGGTCTCGATCTCCCTGAATTGGAATGACTATTCGTAATGTCTCATGATCTGAGGTGTACTGAAGTGCATCATTGACTGAGGCTTCAGCCATGGGGACATCTGAGAACACCAGATCCAGTAAATTTCCATCGTCATGTGTTGGGACATCTGGTTCAGAAATCAGATCTAGTCCGTGGTCTGCCATAGTCTGTGCCAGTATGACGCCACTGTGATATCCTGGATTGCTCGAGTCCCAGGATATGTCGCCAGCATTAAAATCTCCAGCTATAACACAGCCAAAAGGTGGAGTCCATACTTCCAGAATATCATCCACTTCCTGTGGGTTGTCACATAGCCGGTAGACACTGGCAAATATGATGCCATGTACCTTGACCCAGGTGATGTCTCGTGTAGCATAGGGCCGAAGTTGATCCGTTTAAAGGTGCTTTCTCACATAGATGAGAGATCTGGGCCGTGTACTGTCGCTGTCCCAGGAATCCACTGGGGAGTATATATTGTAATTGGGGTGTGTCTTTACTCTCATTCTCCTGCCTGGTGGTATACCAACCCAGGGCTCTTGCATCAGAATGATGTCTGCTTGTTCTCCTTTGTAGTCAGCCAGGTTGATGGCTAACTCTGTAGGGCCTGTACTCTTTTGTCCTCCTGCTGTATTCACAGAATAGATGACTAGATGCCTGTGTCGATGTGTTTCGTTTGATGTACCTAACATTGATTGACAACAATGGTATCGGCATCTCTGGGATGAGTTGTATCTATTGTGTCGATTTGTATTGTGGTGTCTTTGTTATTGTTGCTGGGTGTTGACCTAGCTTGGTTTCTGCCTGCTTCATTAAAGGCCTTGGATCTGGCTCTTTCTCCGGCTAGCCTTATTTCTTGGATTTGCTCCCATGTGTGCTTATGGATGGTACCTTTCACAACCTTGGGGCGGGTAGGGCATTTATTGAAATTGGCAGCATGAGGTCCTTTGCAGTTGACATACTTTGGGATTGGTTTTTCGCACTCTCCCTGGTGTACTGTGTTGGCGCAGTGTGCACATACTTGCTTTTCGTATCGGTAATTCCTACCATGGTATCTGAAGCAGCTTGCACACTGGTGAACCTTGGGGGTGTGTTGAATATGCCTTGAGGTCATTGAGTGGGCAAAAAGCGTGAATGGTTTCCTTGCTGCACTGGGCAGAGAGATTATCCACGTGGTTTCTGGATCAGAATCAGTCATGTTCTTTGAGAGTATGCACCTCAGAGGTCTGTCGCCTGTTTGGGCTTCAACTTCATGGGCAACAACAGTGTCGGTAATATCGATTGTGAACCCTTCTGCACTGATGACCTTTCTTGGGCATCCATTGACCTTGTAATGATGCCAGACTGTGTGGGTCTCAATCTTTTGTGCCTTGAGAATGTCGGCAATTTCTTCTTGGAAAGCCAGAAGCTTAGCCTGAGTTGGCTTGTCCCTTGGGTGTAAGGTAAAACCAGAAGGACACCGTGTCACTTCTCTAAGCTCCTGAGGGTGGAGCTTAAGTCTTCTGTTCAGTGTAGACTTGATTCCATAAGGCTCTAGGTGGCTATTATCCATGCGGACAAAGACCCGGAGATCATCCTGCTTCTTCTTCAGTTGGTTGGTAGTGATGAGGGCGCCAGGCTGTGTTTTCTTCATGGTAGTGTTGACTGTCCATGGATGCTGTCGTTGGCCAGAGGAGACAGCTTGGGCGAAGGTCATGGTGGGCTTCCCTATCCCTGTCCCGCCAGGAGTGGTCTTTCTTTTGGGCGGATCTCGGGTTTTCAGCCACTCATTCAGGCATTTAGAGAAAAAAGTGCTGAACTCCTTGGCATGAGAGTATAGTTCGGTTCCAGCTTTCTCAAGTGTCTTATTGACTACTGCAGCACACTCTTGAAACATTGTTATCCTGGCTTTATAGAGATGCTTGTCTTTAGCCAGTATTTTGGCAACTTGGTCCTGGCACTCTGAAGAGGAGACTTTGTTCCTTGCATCACCTCCAATGGCTTGGTCTGTAGGGATTTTGCTTGACTGAGGTAATTCCATATCAATGATGCTGCTATTATTGATATTTCGGGATTTTCCTTTCAGAGGGGAAACAGTGGTGAAGTCAGCCTCAGAGACCTGTGACGGGCTGCTGTTGATGTCGTCGAGCAGTGCCTGGCGGAGCCTGCTTGGGGTTGCCGGGTCATGTGTTCTTTTAGGGACTGGGGATTTGAACACGCCGCCAGTAGTCGTCTTTGGGACGGCTACTGGCGTGTTTGGGGGCCTGTCGTGAAAGGGTGCCATCCAGCTTGTGAGAAAAATTTTCTGCGCCTTGGCAAGGATAGTAAGGTACTGAGACAAATGCCTGCTTTAGGGCAGATGTAGAGGTTGCGCCCTAACAGCGGGGCGCCAAGAAAAATAGTTGTTTTTGGCAAGAGTGTGTGCATATCCTGTCTGACGAGCACCAGTCACAACCAAGAAGATCCGGCCATCTCGCCTCAACTCCAACACTCAGGCATGCCGCATGTAATCTACACTCAAGACAATGCCATCAGCAGCTTCTTTTCGGAGGCTGGGGCGTCGTCATCCAAGATACAATGCGATGAGTTTGCCCGCCGAAGGTACGGAGGAGAGATCCGGCCTGTAGATATCCAAGGCTTGACTAGTTATACTATCATTACAGGACCGAGCGGCAACAAGATCATCCAGTTCCGAGAGCGGACTGCCTTGCTAGACATGAACATGTTAGCGCTGGCCAAAGATATTCACCAAGATGTCGTAGCTAGCTGTTCTGAGCTCGGGTGGATCGGCGACCTAAGCAGTTCACAGCTAGCCATATACGAGATGGACAGGCTTCCTGGAGAGAACTACATTACCGCTCGCCCCTCTCTCACGCGTGATCAACGGCTGAATACCGTGTGCAGCCTGGCAAGGTTAGTTGAGATTGCGCTCCCCTCTTAGCGTCAACCCACTAATTTGAAATGAAGTTTCTTTGCACAGTCATGGCAGAGAGGTACACCAGCAGATTCTGGGTTGGTCGATATGTCTGTTATCAGCGCCGAATGCTACGCCAGGTTTAACGGCTTAGCTGGCACTCTCCCCGAGCGCTTCCTACCAGCCATCAACGAAGTACAAGCCGTCCTGCCAGCACTCCTTGATGGACGCTATCCGGTGGTCCTTACACACAGCGACCTCAACGAGATGAACATCATGGTCGACCCCTGCAGCGGAAATATTACAGGCGTTGTTGACTGGCCTGGTGCAAGCATCCAACCATTTGGCTTCACCCTCTACGCACTAGAGAATGCCCTCGGTCGCATGGGCTCTGACGGATGGAAGTGGTTCGACAACGTGGACGACTTGAAGGATGCATTCTGGAGGGCCTTTGAAGAGCGGACCGGCTTGTCTGAGCCTCAAACGAGACTTGTAAAACTTGCAGGAAAGGCTGGCATCCTCATCCGCTACGGCACGGCTTACAACAGCGGCTTCTCGGGAATGATAGGGGTTCGAGACCCGAACACCGAGGATTTTAGGTATCTTGATGCGCTGCTTCTCTAAGAAGCCCTTCCCTGCACATTTGCCTAGGCTACTTCTATCTGTGCCTCAACCTGCGTGATCCGGCACTGTTGGTCTATGCCTGGGTCAGCTCTTAAGTAAGGGAACCTTTGGGTTACTAAACAACGAGATGCTTAAAGACACGGATGTAAGAACTACAGCTGGTACACGAGTCCAACTTGCCAGGTCAGGTCACCAATAGATCGGTGGCCAAGTCTTGTATGCCAGCGGTGGAGTAGTCTCAGCGCCACAGATTTAGCTTGAGAGGTTAGTTCCTGGGAAGAATCAAAGGTGTTCGGTCTGTCGAGAAAACCCAGCTGGGGCGAGCCATCCCTCTCATCCCCAGGGCCGCAATAAGAAGAATCAGCAGAATATTTACAATTTAGGGAGTGACATGAGCAGCATGTCGAGGCACCCGCAAGATATGTCACGAAGATACCCTCAGAGCGCTGGCGGCATGTATGCGCAGCCTTCACTTGACGGGGCCAATTATGGACATCCTGCAGAACCAGCTACGGTAGGTTTTTTTGCATTTCCTGAAAGTTATGGACGAACCTCATGCCGTACATCCGGTATCGATTTGCAGGCCCCAATATGAATGAACGCGGCAGTGACGCGCGGTATTCCACGTCGGATTGTCTGGTTGTATAGGTGTTGGATGCGGCGCGTCATGTGTTTCACCATAATGTGTATGAGACGGCTGAAACTTTTTTTTGACAGTATGGTCAGCAACAGATCTACTCCTTTTTGCCTTCGCAGCAACACAGGAGGCCTCGACGCCGCTACCAAGAGATCGAGCGCATGTATAACTGCTGCTTGAATGGCTGCGAGAAGGCTTATGGCACTCTGAACCATTTGAATGCCCACGTCACGATGCAGAGCCATGGGCGGAGGCGAACACCTGACGGTATGTCAATTTGGCTCTTCATCTCAAAAGCGGGATCTCATCCCAAATCTAAATGTACCTGACCGTAGCTTGCCAAGTGGCATGCCCGTGATTTGCACTGGAGGCTCGCGTGGCCGTCCGGGGTCAGGGACCAGACCAGCGCTCAATCAAGCGTCGCTAGGTTGAGTTGTACTAGTGTCTGAAGGATATACCATAGCATAGTATTGAATCGATCGTATTTGCGATTGCTAACCTAACCGATCGGTAGAGTTCAAGGAGATTCGGGAGGCATGGAAGGCGCGCAAGAAGGAGGAAGATCAGCAACAGAAAGCCGCAGAGGAAGCAGGCTGGCAGCGTCATGCGCAAGCCGTGGCGTCTGCCCGTACCCAGTTTTAGAAATTATAACAATCAACTTGTTCCAGTGTAGGGGAATGATCCTTGATGGCGTGCACAGCTGTCCTTTCTCCACATACATTCCTTTTGTATCTCTCATGTGTAAGGGCCTTCTGCCCTTCAAGAAATATTACTGTTTTCTCTCCGTCAATTGGACACTTTGTTACATGAGACAGTAGATCCTCATGTTGACCTGCCGTCGCTCGGTGGACCAGGTGTCAGGTTGCGTGGGTCACCGTACGATGGGGGTCCCTTTCTTGTGCTGGACTGGCCCTCAAGATATGGCGGCTTTGCCGTCCATCCATGCAACCGGTGCTGTTCGGCTACGTGCATGTTGTGGGATTTCAAAGCGTTCTATATTCAAAGGAAAGAGAAGAAGATCTCTGAGGGAGAAGCCCCCGATATATGTACAGGTGTGCCATCAGGGAGACCAGATAATCATACGATAATGGCGCCAGCTGAATGCCCTGAAGCTAAGCCCATAAGAGCATTCAGCCCCGAAAGCCTCAGCCTGGTATAATATCCAACACATGTTGATTTCATCGCGCAGCTTGTCCACTAATGACTTGACGGATGTAGTTGACCCGTAGTCGAGGAGAATGACGGGGAGATCGATGAGCTTCTGGGCGGACAGTAGGTCGTAGGCGTCGTGCTGGAAATTAAATACGGAAACAGTCAAGGGATCGTGCTTTTGGACGGCCATCAGCTTGGCGCTGTCGGTTTGAAGGCTCAGTGTCGAGCATGCTTCCATGACAACTTGATCCCACTCATTAACGAGATCTGAGTAACGTGGGTATTTCCGCCTTAGAAACACAGAGACTCAAAAACGTTGTTGGCTTTTGACCAACTCGGAGCTGCTCTGCGTTTGCGTGTTAGATATTTAAATCAGCAGGGTCAAAAACAATCAGCCCTGACTTGCCTTGTCAACGACAGGTTGCTGGGACGCCATACCTGAAATGTTTGTTTGTTTGTTTGTATTTAACGTGGGGGATTGCTCCTCAGTAGTGCAAACCACGCCTCCCAGAGCCTCTGCATCGCAGGGTTGTGGAGGTATCAAGATAATAAGTACAGTCAGTCCCGGCTAGTGACGTGGCTCGGGGGAATTGTCAACTTTTAATTAATTTAAAGGTCGGCTTTAAGTTTCCGAGCTTAAACTTATGTAATTTATTAAGCCTTAAACCTTAACTTAATTTGTTTTGCTAATTAATCGTAAGCCAGGTCAAGCAGGTGCTTTAGATTTAGCTTACTTGACTTAAGTGATTCGCAGGTACGGAGACTTATAAGGGTTCAGTGTATCATCATGGTGTCATCTCATAGAATGAATAGGTCAACTTCTTTACCTCCTAAGCATCCTTGTGTGCAATATCTATTCACGTGAATGGTATTGGACGTCCTACTCTAGCAAGTACTCCTCAATACTTGCCCGCCCACTGCCACGTTCGCCGCACAATGCGCACACCTCCCCGCAGCATCTGGAACTGCGGCTCCCTCTCATCCCACCGATGTCGATTCCTCTCCTTCTCGTCGACCTCCCGGTCCTCAGCCCCAAGCGAGAGCAGGATGTCCACTATCCACTCAGCCGAGTTCGTCTTTGCCCAAACGACGGGTGAATCCCCACGGCTGGCATAGCCTCGATCGAGAGGAGTGCCAGCCCTTACCAACAGGGAGATGACGGCTGGGTTCTTGATGAGAATCGCGCAGCGGAGCGCCTCCTGCCCGACCGATAGCTCGTCCGAGTATGGCTCGTGTACCAGCTCTGGGTCCTTCTGCAAGAGCCACCGCACCAGGGGGGCCTGTCCCCCGTCTGCGGCCTGCCTCAGGGCGCTCACCATGCTGGCGCCCTGCTCGAGTAGCAGTTGGACCACTTCCTGGTGGCCGTTGAACGCCGCGACCTTGATCGGGTCATGCGATCCCCTCTCGTGTTTGAGATTCACATCTGCTCCACAGCTCAACAGCAGACGGACCATGGCAATATTGCCTTTCCTTGAAGCGATGCTGAGCGTACACCCGTGGCCGCGAGAATCTGGATAGGGAGCCGCGTTGACTTCCGCGCCGTCGTCCAGCAGCAGCTGTACGACCTCTGATTGGCTGCTCATTGCCGCCGTCCAGAGCATCTCCTCCCTCAGCTTGGGACAGTCGGAGAGGCTGGTCGCGGCGCTCTGCAACAGGAGATTGATGAGGTGAGTATGGCCGCCTATCGTCGCAGCCAGTACAGCTCGTGCAAATTCCTTCCCGCGGGGTGATAGCCCTTCTCCACGTGCTAGCAAGAGGCGGGCGATGTCTTCGTGTCCTCCTCGAGCGGCTGCACTCAGTGCGCTTCCCGCCGAGCTCCGTTTCTGGAACGCGAGTTGCACACCCACATTCGCCTGCGGGTCCCAGATGTTGTCCTCGGCGTAGCCGCCCACGTGCGGATCTACGCCGTGATCCAGGAGGTAGTGGACGATATCGCGGTGGCCCCAAGCAGCGGCGATCTGCAGTGGGCGGCCGAAGTAGGGGCTTTCTGCATTGACGTCCGCCAGAGCCGGTGACGTGTCCTGGAGCAGAGCCATGGCCCGAGCTAGGTCTCCCAGCACGATGAGACCACTGAGCCTGTTCTGGGCTTCCATCTTGGCGTCGATGTCTTTGATGTCTCCTCTGATCTGCCGAGGCTTGCCCGGGTACTTGTGGGCAGCCGCCTCGGCGATCAGCAGGGACGGCGCACATTGGTGGTCCTCGCCGGGTTCTGTCACGAGACCGAATTGCCGGTTGACGGTCTGAATCACATGCACGACCTTGTTCTTCGTTGCACTGCGAGAACGTGACAGGAGGATCCTTGCTTTGAGCTCCAGTGGCATCTGCAGAGATAGGTGGGGGGTGGCCGGGTCGTCGATGTCGACAACATGGCCATTGCAGATTGCCGACCACACGGCGGCATTAAACGATTCTGGAAGCTTGGTCAGGCTCAGGTTTGAGACTCGGATGTCGCACACGACTTACGATTGACTAGTCGAAGCCGTACGGCCTTGTAGATGCCTATGATGGCCACGAGGTGATCAACTATCAGTGTGAAAACGTCGCTTGGGAGAGTTTGAAGATCCATGATAGAAGGTCTGTTGTGTCAAATTGCGAGTGGCGATTGAGGGCTCGCGTTGCAGATTCAGATTTGTGAGAGGCGAGTGAAAGATAGGTAGGGCAGCTGTGCGTTGTGGACGTGTCAGCCAGTGGCGAGTGATGAACAGACGGAGTCGCATCGTAAACGCGCAAGAGTACTGCCACTTAGATTCGGAGTGTCCACCCCCCCCCCCCAACTTCAAATCGCTGTACACACACACACAACTTGGAGCTAGCACCAGACAATCTGGATGGTCCTGGAAGTACGTTCTCAACGACCACGCTCCCGCCACAACGTCGCACATATCATTCCGTATGCTCCCAGAAAGCCCTAAGTCGCTAGTATATAGGAACATACGGAATAATATATGCGACGCTGTGGCGGGAGCGTGGTCGTTGGTTTGGACGCGTCGTCGCATGATTGCGGCTACGACAAAGGTACTAAATTTTAAGTTGTCATTACCGCTAGGACATCGCATATATCGATATATAGATGTATTAATAGTTTTAGATCGTACTTATTAGCACCTGCTTAAATGGATATTTGCGACGTTAACACGGAAGCGTGATGGTAGCAAAGCGTACTTTTGTCGTCGTCGCCGTTAAGTCAAATACGTGGGGTTAAAAATGTTATAACGTATCTTTAATATACTATGGTATTAGTATAACATTGCCGCCAATTAAATAAGTATGAAACAACGCTTTTAAACCAACGTCGCATGTGTTAATAATACATTCTTAAAACAGGTAAGAGCCAGGGCTATTTAAGAATGTACGGTTGACATATATAACGTTAAAATGGGAGCGTGGTATTCGAAAAATGTACTTTTGTCGTCTGTTAAAGTTGTGTGTGTGTGCACAGCGATTTGAAGTAGGGGGGGGACACTCTGATTTTAAGTGGCAGTACCAGTGGGCTCAAGGGAGAGGGACCCACCCTTAAGCCCACTGGTACGATATATTTGGGAGGAAGGAACCACCGAAAAGTGGGTCAAAGATGCTCTGAATCCCGACGAGTAGGTGCCCGGTCATGTCATGGCCGGTACGATCCTTCCCGTAATCTAAGGAAGGCACCACTTCTGTGACGTTTTCCGAACCCACTACCGGCCTCGGCAACAGATCATATTTGCTCTAATAATAGAGCAAATGCATGCTACAGGTGTCCAGAATGGTAAGTTAATCGTTAGCGGTTCCACTTGCTCATGGTCTATTATAAGAAAGATCCTTCGCATAGAAAGTTCCTCCTATTACCATCATAGATAATTATAACCAGAGCTTTACGGAGCTAAGAGGCCCTTGTCACGTGGAACCGCTAACCATTACCATCCTGGACACCTGTACAGAGACCTATGCCACGTAAGAGTTTGCCTCCTGTGAAGGAGGCACGGGTGCCTGGTCATGCCATGGCTGATACGATGCTTCGCCAGTCTAGCCTACCACGATCAGCGTTCTGCCCCATTTTTTGAACCCACAGCCTGCGTCACTGCGTCACCGACAGGTTAGATTTGCTGCTAGAAATAGAGCAATTGCATGACATGGAGAACAGTGCCACTCAAAGGTTTGCCTCCTGTAGAGGAATAAAAGAAACCATTAACGAGCTTTCTCGGGGCCAGCTGGCTGAGTACTGTAATAACCGCCCTGACAGTTGTTCTTGACATATTATACCACCAAAACCAGCGCTACTCGCTTGATTTCACCCTCGCTGCCTTCGCGATGAAACTCCTCTCTAGTCAAAATGCTTGGACCTTGGCAGCTATCCTTGGACTCCAGGGGCTTTGTAACGGGAATCCAGCTGCTCCCCAGCCCAACTCCTTGGATTCCCTTGCTAGGCGCGTCGAGGTACCTGGTCTGAACACACCATCAGACGAATTCCCGGCTTCGCGTCGAGAGTCGAGGGCTCGCCGGGAGAAGGACGTCCCCCAGCTAGGGTGGGGCAGCGGTGTTGGGACACCTCTACCAATTGCCACCTATGAGAAGAAAGGGGCCGAGAGACTCGAGGCATACAATGCGGCTCGAATACACAAGACGCCAGATACCACGATCTTCGATGACGAAAGCGACGCAAGTAAAGATGAACATAAATCATTCTTCAATATTTACGAGAACGAGGATTACTTCAAGTTTCACACGGAGACCGTCCCGACCAAGAGTTATCCCGAGCTGCAGCTCTTCAAATCTGACGACACTGGGGTTGATGTCGGCGATATCAAAGAGCTGGAGGGAATCGAGATTACAGATCCCGATGTCGGCCTTGAGATCAACGTCGGCGCATACGACAAGGAGGGCAGGATCATGATGGCGTTTTCGGCGTTCAAAGAGAATAACGCCACACCCCGCGGCCCAACATATGTTCCTAATAACGAAATAGGTTGGCAGGCATTTGCGCACACTGCTGGGGACAAGGTCGAGAACCTCAAGGTGATCTTTTTGATGAACATCATGAATAAGGGCTTCTGGAGCATCGCGGCCAAGAACTACAATGAGATTGGCAAGAACTACGATGAGATGGTCGTCTGGGACGCAGGACACGGTGAAGCATTGAAGAGATTTCAGCGCTTCTTGGGAAGTGACAACATCAACGGCAAGCTGCTTGCGTTGACCAACCACCACAACGCTATCAAGAACAAGGATATTGCAAAGGTGATCACTATTCCCAAGGATGTCCACGGTTCGAATGGGAAATTCACAGCTGCTTTGGTCCTAAAGTGAGAAGGGAGGGTGGAAAATCATTCGAGTGGAATAAGCACCATGGAATAAGCGTTCAAGATGGCTCGCCGAGTTGACGCTGCTTATTCCACGGTGCTTATTCCAGTTGAGGTGGGATAGGGGAGAATCATAGAATGTAAATCTAGAACTGCAAATTACACGTATGGCATTGGGGTAGGGTTATCGGATCACCCCCAACCAGCGTTTCGGTCATATATAGCCTGTTACCAGAACCACCATATACCCTTGCCTTATCCTCCATCTTTGGGTCAAGTGCCCCAGTTGAGTCCTATCAGGTAGGCTAACGTCTTCAGTGACACTCCGTCAGCTTCTGCCCCCCGAGTTTCTCGGTGATGGTTGTTCAACCAGCGACTCTGAGGTACCACCGCCACATCAAACATAGGGGCAAGGAGTGGGCGACGAACACCCCCTACGGTAGGTGAAGATCCGGTTTAGATATCACGTCAAGAAACCTAGGCATCATTCCCAAATCGGTTCTACTAGAGCCGATTTGCGCACGGACCCGCAGGTGGCGCAAGCTGGCGCGTGGGGTTAGGGTTAGGGTTAGGGTTAGGGTTAGGGTTAGGGTTAGGGTTAGGGTTAGGGTTAGGGTTAGGGTTAGGGTTAGGGTTAGGGTTAGGGTTAGGGTTAGGGTTAGGGTTAGGGTTAGGGTTAGGGTTAGGGTTAGGGTTAGGGTTAGGGTTAGGGTTAGGTTGGTGACGCCTACAGCTACACTCCCCGGTCCCGGAGCCGGCGGGAGGGTGGCCAGGCCGGGTCGCCCTATAGAGTTACCCTGGAGTGCTACCCTGTAGAGCACCTTCCCGACGGCGTAGCGGGGCGGGGCTGGGACCTACCGTGACGTGACCACCACGGCCGTAACCGGCATAAAGACGCGGCTTTGTAGATATACGGGCCAGCTTGATACGATAAGCAATAATATAGGAATTGGTTTACATATGTTTTGGAACATTATGTAGAAGCGGCCAGTAGGGAAAGGCCGAACTCGAAACGATATTCCAAGACATAAAGTAACATCTCAACTTATAGTTTACTTTCCAAACGCGGGCTTGTATCCAGGAAGCCCCAGCACACACCACACGAGCCGCTTCGACGAAACGGTTCCAACGGCGGTACCCGGCTACCCGTACGCCACGCGCCGGGCAAGATAGGTTTCCGAAGGGCATTACCCTGTAGGGGTACTACCGACCCCTCCTGGCGTAGCGCCCGGGGTTCCGACGTTGACACAGCTAGGGGTGGCAGGACGGAAACAGAAAAGTCCCAGGCTTCGTAATATGTAGCTAGTATGGTTATGTGTCAAGTGCTCGTGGCGTGAGGATACGTTAAAAATACGACGTGCTGTAAAGAGGAGAGGCCCCGCGAGCAGCACTGACTTTCCAAGTTGGCGGCCTGGAAGCGGAAGTCGGGGAGGCTGCCGGTTATAGGGTAGCTCGGCCCAACACTCCAATCCCCAGCGCTCCAGGGTAGCTCGGCCCAGCACTCCAGGGTAGCCTGCGCGGGCCTTGGTCTCACACTATGCCACGGCTACGGGCAGCGGCCTCGCGCCACGGGGCCAAGGCCTACCTCGATGCAACTGACGTACAACATAGCCCTTTTCGAAGGCTATCGAATGGGCCCGGTTGCACCGGTGTAGGACCATTATCCGTGGTGATGCGGCTGTTGCAAGCCCGGGTGCAGGGTATCACGTGACCACCCTAGAGTCGAGCACCGCCCGACCCAGCCTTCCCGAAAAAACCTGACGCCACGGGCGCTTGCCGCAGCACAGTGAAACTACCCCACAAGATAGCCCTTTTCCAGGGCTATCCAATGGTTCCGGTCGCACCGGCGTCGCATGTGTATTCGTGGCGCGGTGGTGATTGCAAGTTGAAGGTCCTCGGCTGGGAGGGAGACCCCTCTAGAAGTGCTTAACTTTTCAAAACAATGCCCTAAAAGTTTTGGTCCAGGTGACCCCCAGGTGACCCCCAGGTGGTTGCTTATAGTGGGCTAGGTCCCCTGGGTGGCCCCTAGAGACACCTACCGGGTGGTGCCAGTGCCCTAGGGACCACTGGGCAGGTGGTGCTGGTGCACTGGAGGTGAGGGCCTCAGGGCGTGGCAGGGCGTGGTGGGAATTTGGGTGGGAGATCGGAGACGAAATTTTGACCAAGTACGAAAAAATGTGCAGGACCGGAGATGGTTTGTATGACCGTGAGTCGCTTTTTAAAATTTCCCATACTAAATGTTTTTTCGGAAAATCGTTTGGCGCATAATAAGCCTCTGAGCCGTGTTCTGGGTCCAAGTGGGGTCGGTGGGTATATGAGAAAGCGAGTGGTTTCGGCCACAGCGCGTCTTCCCCTCTACGGGTGGGCAGTCCAGCAATTGGCTGCAAGTGATCCCTACAATGTTAGTGGCTCCGGCGGTAGTTACAGCGCCTCTAGCGCTGTGATCTATCCGCTGTCGAATGGAGATCAGCGGCTCCAGTGGTTCATTCAACCGCTGTTGATTCTGCAAGAGACGACCTAGGCCAGTCAGTACTGTTTACAG